ACAGTGATTGCCCCATGGCCTCTCTGTGTCCTTCCCCAACCCCCAGAACCTATGTCTAGGAGGTAAATGGTCCAGGGACAGAAACTTCTTCCTTTTTCTTCCCTTTTCCCCAGTGTCTGGACCCATGCCTGGCATCTAGGGTGCACTCAGGAAATGTGAGACGAATGCAGGAATGCACAAAAGAGGGTATCACGCAGCAGAGGGGTGCAAAACAGAGCAATTGGGGCCCCGATGGAACCAGGACAGTTCAGGACCCATTTGGGCATGGAGGTGGGACGGGGACGTCCCTGGCTGCGTGCGAAGGCCCAGCCTTCTAGACAAAACCCCATGCCCTCTACCCTGCCCTATCCTGGCCTAGCTACCCACTTGGCCCAACCTGCGACCACGATAGGCAACCACCTGGCCTTGGGGCAGTCTCAGCCCAGCCTCAACTTCCCCAGCTGTCCACTGGGAGTATCAGCAGCCCCCAGCAGATGGTGACATTCAGAGCAGCCACCACGGAATGCGCACGGGCGGTGTGCAGCCGGCTCACCTGTTTGCGCTCCATTCCCTTCTTCCTTTCTTCACCTTCTTCAAGAGTAAAAAGATCAAGCCAAAGCAGGAGAGCCACCTGGTCAAGTCATCCATGCCCCTGCCTCCACTCCAGCCCGACCTGACTCCACTCCCTTGTCTGGACCAGGCCGGACCCCGGCGGGCCAGGCCCCAGGGAGGTAGCCATCCAAGGGGAGAGAGGCCAGGCTGCAGGCCTGGTGGGGGAGCCGCCCATAAATCAGGCCCCACTCCCACCCAGTCACTAACAAGCGGGGCTGCCTAACCGCCTACATGGGGTCCCTGCCTCTGGGCTCCCACAGCGGCCTGGAACAGCCAGCTGGCCAAGGCCTCCAGAGTGCCTTGGCCTCCACCCCCACTGCGGCCCCCAGATAGATAGGGGTATTTTTTTTTTCTTTTAGGAGAAGAAAAAAAAATCGACCTAAATGAAGAGAAACACCAACAAAGAAGGAGAGAGGCCTGCAGAGTCACGTGGGGGCAGAGACCAATTGGGCCTCCGGTGCCCCCCCCCCCCGCCAGGGCGGGGAGGAGGAGGACGGACGGACAGGGCCAGCCTACTGTCCGCCTGCCGCCCGCCGTGGCGTGAAGGAGTTCCCGTGTGCCCACGGTCACCACTGCCCCACCTGGGCTGCCGGAGCCTTCCCTCGGACCCCTGGTGCCCACTGTCCACCCTCATCCGGCGTGAGAGCTGTCCTTCCGCTCCGTAAGTGAGGGCCTGGGCCCAGGCCTCTAATGGCCAGCCTCCCTCCTCAGTGCCTCCCTGCGGCCTGGGCCAGCCACTGCCTGCTCGGCTGGGTGACTGGTGCCCACGGCTCTGGGCAGGGAAGGGGCCAGAGATTACTCCCAACCTGCCCTCCCATCATGCTTCCCCCTCTTCTTCCCTGGGCAGCTGATGGGAGGAACTAGGCCTATGGGGACAGGCCCCATGGGGGTCTGTGGTGTCCCGCGGTCTACTAGCGGCCGAGTGTCCACAGGGCTGTGCTGGCAGCCTCGCAGTCCGGGAATGCGCCCGTGGTCTCTGGGCCTGTCTTTGGGTCTCTGGGTCTCCCTGCCTGTGTATCTGTGTTGTCTCCGTGGATTTGTATGGATTTGTGTGTCTGTCTCCAATGTCCTTCTGTCAGTCCTTGCTCTGTGGCTGGTGCAGATCAAGGTTTCCTTCCCTGGGTAGGTGGACGAGGGTGCAGTGGAGCCCGGGTCAATCCGAGGGCTCCCAACCTAGGACAGTGTAGCCTCTGGAGAGAAACAGGGTAGAGAGAGGTGGAGGGAGAGGGGCCCAGCTCCATAGACGCCTGGGTCCCCAGCCCAGACTTGTGCTTACATTGCCCGAGTTCCTCAGCAATGTCCAGTAGACCCCAGCCCTCACCCTCAATCCCCGTCACTCCCCTACAGAGGTGGTGCCCCTCCTGATTTCTCTCTTCTGAGGCCTCTCCCAGAAGGAGAGGTGTTCAGAGGCACTAGTTCCCCACCTCCAGCTCCTGCAGATGCCCATGTTTCGGGCGGGGGGGGGGGGGGGTTCCATAGGGGGCGTCTGCAGCTAAACTCAGGCTCAGCTCTCTTTCTGTTCTCACCAAGTTTCATCTATGGCATCTCACAGAGACTGCAGGACCCCTTCCGTAGGGCTGAACTTTTCCATTTTACATGCCGAGAAACTGAGGCTCAGAGAAGCAAAGTGACCTGGCAGAGCTTGCACAGCAAGTCGGCTGCCTATTTCGTCCTTTCTTCCGCGGGTGAAAGATAGGAGAAATGGTCTGCCCCTGTTCTCCAGCCATGGCGGGCAGGACCAAGGTGCCAGCTCCAGCCCTAGCCGGGTGGCGGGGGAGGCTCCTGGGGCGGGGGAGGTTCCCGTCGGGGGCCCAGGCGAAGTTGGCCAGAGCCAAGGGCCAGAGCCTTCAGATCCGCGCGTTGCTGCGGGTGCCTAACTGTGGTCACCCCCACCCCCCTCCGTCCGCTTGAAGATCGTGGCTTTTTGGCCTTGCTGATCTCAATACACTTCTCCGCGGAGCGGGCGGGGGCAGGCCCCTTTCTCTGGTCTCAATTTTTTCATCTGAAAAATGAGAGTGATCAGGTAGCATTTCCCTACCCAGAACAATTGCTCAGTGTAGCCCAGCCGGGGGAACCCTTTTGGGATGCCGGACGCTCCCTTCCCCCTCCCTCAGTCTGGAAAAGGGCTCAGAACGGAAAGGGGGCAGAGGTCCCTCTGTTCTCCTAGCTCCCGCGCCCTTGGTGGCTTCGGGTCCTCGCCAGTCCTCGGAGGATTCCCATTTCCGGCCCAGCACACTGAGGTCTCCGTTGGAGAAACGGTTTGCCCCAGGTCTCCCAGCTGGGTACTACTGACGGCTTCACAGTGTTAAGGCGCGCGTTTTGTCAACATCTCTTCGGTTCATCCGCACGCCCACTCTTAAGGAAGTCCAGTCATCATTACCACTTCGCAGATAAACAAACTGAGGGTGTGTGTGTGTAAATTTGCTTGTCTCCAGTGAGGAAATACGGCAGGGCCAGGGCTCGAACCCGGTTTCTAGCCTTGAACCCGTGCCTTGGCCATGTACCCCCACGTTCGCCCTTACCCACTTCCACGCTGCAAAACGACCAGCGCCCCCAGCGTGGCCCTTGCCACGACTAAGCTGGATTAGCAAACAGGGGCTCGCCTCCTGGGAGGCTGGAGGCTTCCAAGCGCCCAGCACCTGCCCGGATTCCGAGGCTCCCGGGCTGGGGATGGGGGACGGAGAGGGTAGGGTAAAGGCGCTAGCCAGGCTAGGTGGCGGGGGAGGGCGCGGGCCGGGCCTCCGCCCCCGGATACCGCACGCGCTGATATAGAGGGGCCGGCCCCTGGCCGGGGCGAGGCGGGTTCGCGCAGCGCGCATTGGAGGCGGAGGGGCCCGGGTCCCAGGTGCGCCTTGGTGCGGCCCTGGAGGCGGCGGGGGGTGGAGAGGCTGGGGGGTGGGGGGACTCCGAGGCCCCGCGCCCCCGCCTCCCCGCCCCCGGCCCGATCGGCCGTCATCGCGGGCAGGCGGCGCTGCGCCCGGGTGCGGCTCATCGCCGGCGGCGGCGCGGCCAGGAGGTGCGGGGCTCCGCGCGGGCGGGACGCGGGGCGCTGCTGCTCGCAGGAGCCGCCAGGTGGGCGCCGGGCGGGCCGCGGCCGCCGTCGCGCCCCTTCTCTCTTCCTGGGCCCCGGCTCTGCGCGCTTCCCTCCTTGGGACTTCGGCTCTTCGCCCGAGGTCGCTCCCCCGCCTCGGGCTCGGCCCCCCGGGGCCCGCGGGGGTCTCCGCCCGAGGTTTCTGCGCCTCGCGCCCGGCCTGCGGCTCCACAGCCGGCGTCTCCGCTGCGCCCGCCCTCCGCCCGACGTCTCGGTCTCGGTGGCACAGGCTGTGCCTCCCGTTGCCGTCGCTACCGCGGGCTTTGTCTCCCACAGCCCGTGGGCCCCGGCGCCTCGGCGCTTTCGGGCTCCGGGTCCCGGGCGCCGTCGTTCTCCGCCTCCCTCGGCGCGAGTCCCCGGCGGGGTCCGGCCCTGCGGGGCCGCGCCTCGGAGCTCGGGCGCACGGGTCCGGCCGCTTCCCGCGCGTCTCCCGGCCCCGGCCCCCTTGCTGGGCGCCTCCGTCTCTCCAGGTTTTCCCCCAGTGTCTCTGTCCCCCTCTCTGCCTTACTCCCTCCCGGGTTTCTCTCGCCTCTGCGTGTCTCGGGCTGTCTCTCGTCTACCGCTGTGTCTCTGGCTCCGCGTCTCCTTCTCAGGTTTTCTCCTGGGCCTCTGCCTCTCAGCGTCTCTGATCTCTCTCTCTCTCTCTCTCTCTCTCTCTCTCTCTCTCGTTCTCCACCTCCTTGTCTCTCTGTCTCGTCTCCCCCCGGGTTTTCTCTGCCCGGCATCCGTGTGTCTCTGTCAGCCTCGGATTTTCGTTGTCTCTGTCGCCCCAGGGCGCTTGCTCCGTTAGGCGGCGTCGGTCGGTGTCTCTCGCTCTCGCTCTGGCCATCTCTCTGTCTCCCCCGGACTCTGTCTCTGTCTCCTTCGTCCCTGTCCGATCCGCAGAACACTCGAGGCCCCACTCCGGCCGGGCTCGCCGGTGTCTCCCCTGCGGCCGAGCCCATCTCGTTTTCTCAGAATGGGGGTTTTGTTCTCAGACGAACGAAACCAGACCCGAGCGCACCGAACCGAGGGTCCCGGAACGGGCGCGCCGCAAACCACGCCGGGGGAGCCCGCGGGCGGGGGCGGGGGGCGCGCGGAGCGGGAGCAGGAGCAGGAGCAGGGGGACAGGGCCGGTGAGGGCCGAGGCGCGGGCCGCAGCGGCCGCATCCCAGGACGGGCTGCTCGGGGCGCTCGAATGGGCGGCCTCGCCCGGGGCGCGGTGACGGGGGGCAGCGGCGTGGGGGCGCGGACCCCGCCGGCCCCGGGTCTGCCGCGCCGCCACTCGAGTCCCGCCCGCGGTGACCCTCTCCTCCCTCCGCAGGCGGACGCCGCGGGCATGGACTATTCGTACGACGAGGACCTGGATGAGCTGTGCCCCGTGTGTGGGGACAAGGTGTCCGGCTACCACTACGGGCTGCTCACATGCGAGAGCTGCAAGGTGAGGGGGCGGCGGGCGGCGGGCTGGGCGCTCGGGGGCAGCGCGGGCGGCCGGGACGCGGGGACGGGCCCGGGGAGGGGGACACGGGGCCTGCTCGCCTCCCGCGCGGACTCCGCTCTCCCCTAGGGCTTCTTCAAGCGCACGGTGCAGAACAACAAGCACTACACGTGCACCGAGAGCCAGAGCTGCAAGATCGACAAGACGCAGCGCAAGCGCTGTCCCTTCTGCCGCTTCCAGAAGTGCCTGACGGTGGGGATGCGCCTGGAAGGTGGGCGCGCGGCGTGGCGGCCTGGGACCGCTGACCTCTGACAGCCCGGCTGGGGGGGGTGTGCGGGTGGTGGAAGGGGTGCGAGGAGGGCACCCGTGGCCTTCTTAAAGTTTCTGGGGCCAGCCGTGGGCCCCGCACGTGGGGTGAGGCCAGTTCTCCGCGCGGAGGGGTAAGGAATGGCTCTGTCTGGCGAGGGAATGCGTGCAGGCTCCCCGGGCTTGGGTCCAGAGGCATCCGCAAGGGAACCCCAGGGAGAGGACCGTCTCTCCAGCCTCTGAGAAGGTGTGCAGCTCCAGGCAGAGCCCTGCCGACCTCCTCCCTCTGCAAGGAGACCTAGGACACCCCCACTGACACCCAACAGCCACGGGAGCCAGGGTGTTTAATACCTTAACCAGACAGAGTTCAAGTCCCAGGGCCACCACACACAGGATGATTGATCCTGGGCAACTTCCTTAACCTCTCTGAGCTGCAGATTCCCCATCTGAAAAGTGGACCTAACAGTAGTTAGGTCCTTCTTGAGTCAGTGTGAGGGAATTGTATGAAAGGCTAGTATAGAGCAACTGCTATTATTATTATTATTATTATCATTTATATTATTATCTGTCCATCATCACAGCCTTCATTCATCCAGCCCACCCGAATGTTTGTCCGTCCAAAAGTTCGCTCAGGTCGATCACTTAGTGGGTGAAAGTCCTTCCACCATGTTCTCTGGAGGACCCTGAGAAGATGAGGGAATGGGAACAACGGGTCCCAGAGGACCCAGGCCCATCCCTCCCACCCCCTCCACCCGCAGGGGAGGGAAAACGTTTCAGCAGGAAAACCTCAAACTTTCTGAGGGTGGACAGTCCCAGGCGTCCGCCCTGCTGGCTCCGCCGGGCTGTGCGCCGAGCAGGCCGCTGTTGGCTCAAGTTTTCAAACAATGTAGAAGGTCCCTAGTGGCTCTGGGAGCCGCTGACCACAAGTCCTGCCACCTAGAGGAAGGACTCACAGATGAGAGGGGAATGTCCCAATATCCCCAGCTCTGGGTCCTCCTGGGCCAAGGGAGCTAGCTGTGTGCAAGGAGCAGCTATACTCCAGATGCAGCCGAGGGAGCAGAGCCGGGGTTCTTCACCCCTGCGGCAGGAAGATGGGCTGAATGGACCTCCGAGACACTTCCCTCCTGGGCACCACCCTCTCCCTCCCTTTTCCTAGAACTGTCCCTTTTCCTAGAACTCAGGCTGGGGTCCTGTCTGAGCAGAGCCTGGGGCCACACTCCAGCTGCAGAGATGCGCCTGTTGGGTCGGGCTGGTGACACATTCTTGGCCAGGCGGTGGGACATCTGGTGAGCCAGGGAGGTCCCTTCTTCAGCTGGGAACCCTGGCCAGCCCTAAACTCAGCGTCATATCTGAAGGCACTGGGGGAAGCCCGAGTCATTTTGCAGTAGGGCCTTGACAGAGTCGGGCAGTCGGTCAAGAAGCAAGCCGCTGGACCCTGGGCACTGGAGGGAGGCTGTGAGGAAGGCTGACCGGGGCCTGTTGCCTGCCGCCGTCTCCCTGCTTGGCCTTGTACTAGGCACCTGAACCCGTTGCTGAGTCTCCAGAAACTCTCAGCCTGGGTCACATGGCATGATACCACTCAGCAGGATGACAGTGGACAAGAGGCAGGACATCTGGGGCAAGGACAGTGGAGTGTGCCTAGATGAATCCAGGAACACTTCTGGAGGTGGTGACCCTAGGGCTGGATGTTTGGCAGGCATGAGAGAAGGAAAGGGTTTGAGGCAGAAAGAATATGACGGGGGCGGGGCGTGGAGGAAGAAGGACGCACGCAAGCCAGAGGAGCGGAGAGATAACTCGGTGGGGAAAGAACACGCGGTCTTGGAAAGGGTGATCCGGGAGGGCCAACAGGGTCTTGAATGCCAGGCTACGGAGATGGACTTCCTCTGTGGGCAGAGGGAGCCACGGGAAGGTACTGAGCGGGGGAAGTGACGCAATTTGGGAAAGATCTGTGAGTGTGGCCTTATGGTAGGTGGCTTGGAGGGGCTGAGACCAACGCTCTCCTTCTGCCCGCAGCTGTGCGTGCTGACCGAATGCGGGGTGGCCGGAACAAGTTTGGGCCCATGTACAAACGAGACCGTGCCCTGAAGCAGCAGAAGAAGGCACAGATTCGAGCCAATGGCTTCAAGCTGGAGACAGGACCCCCGATGGGGGTGCCTCCCCCACCCCCTCCGCCGCCGGACTACATGCTGCCCCCTGGCCTGCACGCGCCTGAGCCCAAGGGCCTGGCCTCTGGTCCACCTGCTGGGCCACTGGGCGACTTTGGGGCTCCAGCACTGCCCATGGCCATGCCCGGTGCCCACGGGCCACTGGCCGGCTACCTCTATCCCACCTTCCCTGGCCGTGCCATCAAGTCTGAGTACCCAGAGCCCTATGCCAGTCCCCCGCAACCTGGGCCACCCTATGGCTACCCAGAGCCCTTCTCCGGAGGGCCTGGTGTGCCCGAGCTCATCCTGCAGCTGCTGCAGCTGGAGCCAGAAGAGGATCAGGTGCGGGCTCGTATTGTGGGCTGCCTGCAGGAACCGGCCAAAGGCCGCCCTGACCAGCCCGCGCCCTTCAGCCTTCTGTGCAGGATGGCTGACCAGACCTTCATCTCCATCGTGGACTGGGCGCGCAGGTGCATGGTCTTCAAGGAGCTGGAGGTGAGTCCCTCCTCCCGCCTGGCTGGCCACTGGGTCTGGGGTGTCCTCCTGGCGCCCGAGCCTCCGTCCCAGTTAACCTCTGGATGGAGCTGTCCTGCCCACTGGCTTCAGGCAGCATCTGGGCACAGGGAGGTTTCTCTGGGGACACTGAGGAGTGTTTCTGGCCCATCCCAGCCTTCCCTGCTCTTCTCCCCCCTCTCCCTCACCCCTCCTGCTCTCTTTCTTTCTCTGTGTCTTGAGTCTCTATTTGTCACAGACTCTGCTGCTTTATCTCTGCCTCTATCTCTTTCTGTTATCCTTCTCTCCCTGATGTGCTGTCTCTCTGCATCTCTGTTTCTCTGGGCCTCTAGGTCTCTGTTCCGTTCTCTTCTGGTCAGGGTCTCTGTAAGCATTTATCTCTCTTCCTCTGAGACCCTGAGCTCCCCCAAAGGACTAGCTGAGTACTTTGGAAGCTGTCTCTGGCTCCAGCCCAGTGTCGAGAAGAGGACACAAGTGATCCTGTCCTCCCGTTTGGAGAGGCCGCCAATCCCTGCCAGCCTCAAATATCATAGGTGGGGGTGTTCGTATCTCTGAGTTTGGAATGCTTGTGGACGTTCTCCTTCCCAGCTAAGGTGAAAGTTCCTGCTGTCCCTGCGTCTCTTGTTCATGATGGCTGGTCTCGAGGGTCTGTGTGTGCAGTGGGGGCTAGGTCGGGCTTGTGAGTCCTGTCACCGATCTTGCCAAAGGAGCCCGTCTACCTCTTTCCCAAGTCTTCCCTTCCCCTGGATTGAAGTACCTGCAGCGAAAGTAAGCAAGAAAGCAGCGGGAAGAACTGAGGCCAGATAGGGAAGAGGTTCCCAGTCCTTCTGCCTGGCGGTTTAAAGGGCCCAAGGCCTGGGAGCTGCCCCTCTGGGGCCCTGGCTCCCTGTGAACAGGGTGCTCTGCCAACCTCTGAGGCCGCTCAAGCCCAGGCAAGGCCCTTCTCGCTGGCCGGGGACAGACCATCTTTAGTCCAGGCTGATTGGTGTGCGGTTTTCCCCGGCCGGCCTCCCTGGCTATTCCCGGGCTGGGTGTAAACAGCAAGGCCCATTGCCCTCCCTGCTGGGGCCACTGCAGCCTTGAGCAGCATTGTCAATGCTGACGCCTGGGCTTCCTCCAGGGGCATGTGGCCGGATGGGCCGGGGGTACTGCCTGCCTGGGCTGGCCACGGGCGGGATAAAATAGGAGGTTGGGCCTGTAAGCCCTTGAGGCATCATGGGGTTGGGGGCCTGGAATTGGTGGTGATGATTCCTGCTTCCACAGTGGAGGAGCTGGGGATGTGCCCTCCATCTGCCGCAGGGTGGGACTTCTCACCCTTGTCCCCACTCTAGGCCAACCTCATGGATGGGACAAGAGGCGGGACCTTGAGCAATCCCATCTGCCTTTCACTCCTGGCTGGAGGCCCTGGTTGGGGATGAGGATCCCAGGACCCTTGCGTTGGTTGCCAGCTTCCCCTCCAGACTTCCCATGAGCCCCCTGTGCAGAGGGGAGGAGGAGCAGAGCATTCCTGGCTTTCCAGAACCCTGGATCCAGGGGCAGGGCACTTCCTCTGGCCGCCTTCCTAGTCTCTTGGGGTTTTTCACGCAGGATGGGAAGGGCTTTTGTCCCAGCTTTGCTGAGTGTTTTTTCCTGCTTCTGGCTTCTCTGTGGTCCAAACCTTCCTGCTTCCCCTTCCCAGAATCTCTGAATCGAGCCCAGGAATATGAACCATGGTCACCATCTTCTGTAAAGGAACCTTGCAGATAAGTACCAGCCCAGCCCATAGTGGGCCTCTTCGTCAGCCACGTGGAACTTCTTTCCTACTGGTCCAGCGAGCCTGGCTGGTGTCTGTTTGCAAAGCCAGAGGTGGGGAAGCAGAAAAGTGGGAGTGGGGCTGAATGACCCTGTTCTCCCTCTTGGGTGACCATTCACCCCCCTACTACCTCCCGCAGAACACATCTTAGGGGACAGAGTGGGGAGCTCTCTAGCTCTGAGAGTGGGGCACGTGGGCTGGGCAGTGGGCACCTTGAAATGAATTGGACCCACGAGGCAGCCAGGCTTTTGCAGGAGACAGACGGGCATGCAGATGGTGCCAACACAGGTCATCCAGGGCTCTGGGAGCGATGGAAGGGGGGTAGTGGGGCCCAGCAGCAGGGCAAAAGGCTCTATCTAAGGAAATCAGGGTGTTCTTTGATCTCTGCCTTTCCAGAAAGCAGTCTGAGAAGGTTAAGGACATCCCAGGAAGGGGGAACAGCATAGGGAAAGACCTAGAAATGTGAAAAGGTGTCATATGTCAGGGAGTTTCAGGTGGTCCTCTGTGTCCAGAGAGGTTGGCAGGGTCAGAAGCAGAGCTTGGACCGGGAGCCAGGGCTGGCATAGGCCCCACATCCTGGGACAGGGACTGGGTCCTACCATGGAGGCTGAGCTCTCCCCAGAGGCCACCCAGCCCCCTGTGATGCTGATGCCTCTCTGCCTAGGGGAGGGCCTGGAGTCCTTGCTGAGCTGCCAGGGATGCCGGGAGCCTGGACGCCCTCTTGGGGTTCTCCTCCTCCATCCCCTCTCCCAGCTTAGATGTCCCTCTGCCTCTGTTTTTCATCTCACACAATCGAGGTGTGTTGGCGCTGACCACGGCAGAGAAGTTCATAACAAAGACCAGGATCAGAGCAGCCTGTGTTCAAGTCCCAGCTCCGTCGGCTCTGCTGCCTAACCCCGGGCGTGACAGTGGACGAGGCACTACTCCTCGGCCCGCGGTTTCCTTAGCTATACGATAAGGGAAGTTGAAAGAACTTCTACTTTGTAGAGCTGTTGCAAGGATTTAGTGAGCCAGGACGGGTCAGCGGACCCGCACAGGGCCCAGCGCACAGGAGAGTTTGGTAGGTTGCAGTGGTGGCTCCCGTCCTTCCTGTCCCCTCTGCTGCTGCCCCTGTAACCTGCACTTGCAGGAGGTGCTCAGGCGTGGCCGGGAGGAGTGCGAAAGCATAGGCTTTACCCACGCTCCTCTGGGTACTATGTCCCGGGAGCAGACGCGGGCCAGGCCACCTTGCCCTGGGCTTAGAAAGCCACTGTGTGGCAGCAAGGTGGCAGAAACACCTGTCCCTGCTGCTCTGCTCGGTGGAGGGCCATGTGTCCGCCTAAGCCGTCAGCCTCTCGGGACGGTTCCCAGGAAGGGCAGGCGGGCAGGATGGCCCATAGGAGTCAGGGAGGGGGAGGTGAGCCCCGAGAGTGCCTAATGACCCATTTTGACATCACTTCACCCTCAACATCCAACTGGGAGGCCCCCGATCGGCAAGAGAATGGCTCAGATTGATGGTTTCATTTAAACAGCAGTAACTCTGTCACTCCCGGCCTGACAAACGACGGCCGGTCGACCGCTCCGCCGGGACCGCGCCCTGGCCGGCCCGCGGCATGTCAGTCACCGGAGAGTTACAGAGCCCGCTGGCCTTCGGCTGCCAGACAGATCAGACCCCGGGGGGCTCCAGGGGAGACCCTGCTGGGAGGGAGGTCATCTCGGCACCCATAAATACCCCTTCTCCAGGGCAGGCTGCGAAGCGTCAAGGCTCCGGGAGGATTTATGGCAGACTCGCGGGAGGGGTGGGCGGCTGGGAGGCTGAGCAGACAGACCAGGCGGGCGAGGGACCCCAGGGCCAGGCCACAGGCAAACGTCCTTGTTCCCCGGGTGCCAGGGAGGTCCGAGGGCAGAGGAGGAACCTTTGCTTAGGGAGAAAGAGAAGCAAGGTGAAAACCAGCCTCTTTGGTTAAGTGAGGCTCTTAGCCACCTGCTTTCCTATGGAGAGGGGCCTGCAGCGAGGGCCTTCTGGTTTTCTTTGAAATAAAAAGAGGTGTGTGTGTGTGTGTGTGTGTGTGTGTGTGTGTGTGTGTGTGTACGCGCGTGCGTGCTCATCTGTGTGTGGGCAGTGTTTGAGAGTTTGGTATGTGTCCATCTGTCCACCTAGAGGAGGAGCAAGTGACAAGTCCGTTTGGCCAGGGGTAGATGGGCACGTCAGCGCGGGCAGGATCTGCAGGAGAGCCCGCCACGGGGCCACAGAGCCCTTCACAACAGAGGCCCCTGGGCTCACATGTCTTCTCTAACCAAAAGAGGGAGCATTTGTTTTTCTAGTTCCTCAGAACAGAAATCAGGGCAGAGGAGGATATGTGGCTGAGTGGGGACTCGAACAGAGGGACGGGGCGCCGTGGCTCAGCCAATATGGCATCTGGCCGCCCTGCCACCCCTATCAGCCCCGTGGGCAGGGCTGCCCCCACTCCTGGGGTCTGAGGTCTGGGTACAGAGTCTGCTCCCAGGGCTTGGCCAGCCGGGTCACTGTGACCCCTCTTGCTTTCTGCCCGAAGCTCAGCCTGCTTATCTCCTAATTCTCCCCTTTATCTCTCTCTTCCACCTCCCCAACCCCCTGTTCCTTTAAGCCAGGCCCAAGGGCCCCAGTGAGGGGTGAGCAGAGCCCAGCCCCGCACATCCTCCCTCTCTCTCTGCCTCCATCTGGGTCGCCCAGGGTAGGCCACTGACTCCTAGCAGGCGCCTTCCATGCGGGCCTCAGGACTTCTTGGGGCCGTCCTGCAGCCCGGCCCAATCAGGGGCCTCTGGTTACCTCTGGTTACCTTAGGCAAGCCTCTGTTTCCTCATCTGTAACATGACAGGAGGGGTGAGGAGGCCAGGGCAGGCGAGCTGAGAGTGGGCCCGGTCACAGGCACTCCCCGAGCCTTGCCTTCCTCCTCGGAAACTGGTGGGGAGGCCTCCTGCCTGTGGTTCTCTGGGATTGGCCACTTCCTGAGGAGAGATAGGAGAGATGTCTCTGTGATTCACCCTTGCCCGGGTCTTCCTCTCTCCTGGCCCCTTCAATCCAGGGCTCCTTGCGGCTGAGCCTAGGGCCCCAGCCGGGCTTCTTGCTCTGACCATAGCTGGGCTCTAGGAAGCACTTTCTGCTCGGAGGGGAGGGGAGGGGAGAGGTGTACAGGTTCTTGACACAGAGACGAGGTGAGCAAGGGAAGATGGGGGGCTGGTGACTCAGAGCGGGACAGAGACAGGCCCTCCCTCTTGTTCTCAGCCACGGCGGGCCTGTGGGAAGGTGGGCAGGCGAGGCCCGAAGGAAGCCTGACCAGCTGCTCACTCGTTCTCTGCACTTGTTCTCCGCCTCCATCCGCCTGAGGATGGGCCCCAGGCTGCCCCCGGGGAAGAGGGGAACCGAGGGGAGGAGGGGGCTTCAATCCCCAAGAAGAGAGAGCTGGTCACTGGGCGTTGCTAGTTCCCCTCAGGCCAGAGGCTGCCTGGATCCCTCTGGCCCCCCAGGATTGGGAGCAGCCCCTCTCTGCTCCCTGTGCCTATCTTGGGAGCACATACGCGTTCATCAGTTGCTCACCGACCCCTCCTCCGGGAGCCCAGCGACGAGCTGGACACCAGTCCTGCCTTCCCAGACCTTCCCAGACCCCACAGGTGTTAGGGGAGGCAGAGAAGTGAACTGGAGTCATCAGATGTGGCAGGTGCCACAGCCAAAGGATGGTGAGGGCACCGCGGGAGGGGAAGGGATTGAGGGGAGCTTCGTGGGGGAGGGAACGAGTGAGCCGTGAACTCCTGGGTGGCCAGGCTGGGTCCTCTTCCATCCCAGGCAGTTCAGAGCGCGGATCTGGAACCAGACGGGGCAGTGTGACCTCGGGCAAGTTACTTGACTCCTTGGGGTGTCTTCTCTCCTTAGACTGGGGTTAGGGACTGTCCCAGCCTCCTAGGGGCATGGATCTGTAGCACAGAGACTAGTAGCTGTCAGAATTGGCTCTCGTGACGGGGCAGGGCCCAGGAAGGTGCCCAGGAAGTACCAGCTGGGCAGATGGTGGCTGGCGAATGAGCCGCGGGGGCTGGGAGGGACTGGCGTCTGTAGCGTGTCTCCCCAGGGTGACCTGCGGGCCCCTGTGCCCCGGGCACTTTGGAGCACCCAGGAGAGCGTGGTATCTGTCACTGTAGAGGGTTGTGGACTGAGAAGGCCAGCCGTGGCTCTGGCCTTGCTCTACCTCTTTGTGATCCCAGGATAGCCCCTTGCCTTCTCTGGGCAGCAGATTGTCATCTAAACAATAGAAGTTTTGGCCAGAGGATGCCTGAGGGCCCTTCTGGCTCTGGCATCCCACGGTCCCGAGTCCTGCTCACCATGGTCACGAGTGTCCACTCTTGCGGTGCTAGAATGTCTTAACCCTCTGGGACGGAAGGACACCCCCATCGGGTGCCATACTTTGCCCACTTCACAGGTGAGAGACTCGAGGCTCAGAAGGCTATAGAACTTGCTTAAGGTCATACTCCTTGTAGGAGCAGAGCTGGGGCCTGCAGCCAGGCCCGTCGGAGTTCTGAGCACTGCCAGTAGCTTTTTTTTTTTTTTTTTTTTGCTTGATCCCTGCTACCCTTTGATGAAGCAGGCAGATAAGCAAAAAGGGCACAGAGAGGGGAAGCAGCTTGCCCAGGTCACATGTCCAGGTGAGCCTCTGCATCGTGGGCTGGGAGAGGCAGGGGTGGGAAGAAGGTCCCCGGCCGAACCCGGCTGGACCCCAGCCCCACACGTGCCTCTTCCCTGCAGGTGGCCGACCAGATGACGCTGCTGCAGAACTGCTGGAGCGAGCTGCTGGTATTCGACCACATCTACCGCCAGATCCAACACGGCAAGGAGGGCAGCATCCTGCTGGTCACCGGGCAGGAGGTGACCAGACCCTACTATGTCCTGTGCCATGCTCTGAAGGATGCTTCCAAAATTCTGAGCCCAGAAGAGGTCCTAGGCCTCTCCAGGGCTAGCCCTGGGCACCCCCAATGTCAGCCCTTTCCCCAAGTTCATGCCCCACCTCCCTCTGACCAGCCCTGGCCCTGACCTCGACAGGTTCCAGCCCCGAGGAAGCAGCTCAGGGATGTGGGGAGGGTCAGGGAGGCTCTTGGAGGTGGTGAAGGTGGCCGTGGGTCTTGAAAGAACACGTAGGGGTTGGTCAGGTTGTAAAGGGTGGTGGGGGCCAGTCCCACCCCCGTCACAGCAGAGGGGACAGCATGGACAAAGGCACACAGGGGGATGTTTAGAACCTCTGAGTTACCAGACGCTGCCGGTATGTGGGTGCTAGTAGGTGGGTTTGGAGGACCAGGAGCCCTGTGAGGTAAGCGGTAAGGCTGGGGGCAGGCCCTAAATCCTGGGTGGATGAAGGAATGGGTGAAGGAGTTAGGGCTCCCCACCCTGCTCTGAGCAGGGAAATATGGGCCCTAGCATAGGAGCTGGGACCTCCTGAGATCAAGCAGGGAGCAACAGGAGAGTTTTAAGTGAGGAAGGGCTCATCCAGGTTGTATTTGAGGGGGAGAGATGGGGGGTAAGGAAGTCGAGGCCTTTGAGTAATGCTGGGGACCCGGGAGGGGGCAGTTCAAGGAGGAAGACCCCTCCTGGGCAGGAGGAGGTATAGGAGAGATGGAGCGAAGGAGGGAGAGAAAGAAGAGAGGCTAATGACAAGGTCTAGGCTGGTGGGGGTAGCATCACTCCCAAGAGGGAGACCTGAGGAAGAGCGGTTGACAGGCACTCCGGGGTGGGGTTTGGAGGCTGAGGCCCTGCTCCCCATCCCGTATCTCCAACCCAGCTCACCGGGGGTGTCTCAGGGCCTCCAGGGCCAGGGAATGCTGGTCCCGAGGGTGTGGCTTGGAGGCCCCCCGGGAGCGCGGACAGGAGAGTCTGAGGTGTGAGCGTGTTTGTTGGCCGACGTCAACACGCAGGCGGAGGTCTCTGAGGCCGTATCTCCACACACGTAAGCCTGTGGTCCTTGAGATCTGCCTGTCACCCCATGTGGAAGCTCATACACCGGTGCGTGTCTGTCCCCTTACCTTGTGAGGTGACCATACAACCGCCTGTGTGTATGTGTGTGCGTTCACTTCCTGAAATGGCTGGACCACCCTGCAAGTGTGGCCAGGAGTGTGTGTGAACGTGAGCTGAGGTGTGACCACGTCCCCAGTCTGAGCGGCCGCGAGTGGGCGTGGGGGCCCGGGCAGTCCCGTGGCCGTAGCCGAGGCTGTGGCCGGGCAAACGGGGATCCGGGAGGACCAGCTCCCACCCTGTCCCCGCACCCAGGGCGAGCCGTGTCTGCTGCAGACACCACAGGAAACACAAAAGCCGCTCGTGCCACGGGGTCGGAGGCAGCTCTCCGGGCGTGAGGGACCCCGGGGCTGGCTCTGCGGCCGTGGGGCCCTCAGCTCGCCCGGCAGTGAGGAGCCCTGGGGAGGCGGGGCCACGTGGTGGGGCTGGAGGGTCTCTGGGGCGCGGGGAGCGGCCCCCACCCCCTCAGCTCAAGGGACGGGGCCACACTCCCCAGCCTCCTTCCGGGCCTCCCCTCCCCTGCCAGCCGCGCCCCCTCCCCGCCGCCCCGTGTCCCCCGACCCTGACCCTGCCCTCCGCCCGCGCAGGTGGAGCTGAGCACGGTGGCCGCCCAGGCAGGGTCCCTGCTGCACAGCCTGGTCCTGCGGGCGCAGGAGCTGGTCCTGCAGCTGCACGCGCTGCAGCTCGACCGCCAGGAGTTCGTCTGCCTCAAATTCCTCATCCTCTTCAGCCTCGGTGAGTGCGCCTGCCCACCCGCGGCGGCGGGAGGGCGACCTGAGGTGGGGAGGGGGCGAGGTTGGAGGCCCCGCCCCCCCCAGCTCCGTGAGGCTCCGCCCCCGAGGGGGCTTCCGCGGCGCGCCGGGACCCCTCCTGTGGTGAGTCAGGGCATGAAGGGACCTGGCCCGGGGCCCGGCTATTAAAATGGAGGTTGATTCCTCCCTGGGCCTCAGTTTCTCTGTTTGGAAGTAGGGCCGACCAAGACCCGGTCTAAGATTGGCCCTCTGTGGGGAAGGACTCCGGAGAATTCGGTAAATTCCTGGCTGGAAGCACCGGAGAAGTGCCCAGGTCGCCTCCAGAAAAAGGCCTGTGTGAGTTGGGGAGGCTCTGTTTCCTGGCTCCCATCCTGGGGTCCCTGTTCTCCAGGTTCCCTGCTCTAGGGGGTGCCCAGATTCCGGCTCTGGGCTCCCCACTCATTCATTCGCTCATATATTCATTCTATAAACCTGCTGAGCATGGGCACTCTGCAAGGCACCGGGGACACAGGGTGTCTCCCTGTTCGTATTGTCACCGAGCCAGCTCTATCCGGGGAGAGACGATAAGCATAATCCAGTTCGTAAGCTACAGACATGAGTGAAATGGTCAGTGAAATGTACAGCCCGGAAGACCGTGATAGGGCTGAGGAGGAAAGTAAAGCAGGGAAGTGGCAGAGGGTGAGCCCAGCCCAGCAGCGCCGAGCCCTGAGTCAGGCGGGGGTCTCCGTCTCATCACCTCCTGACCTGCCCAGCCAGTGCCGCTCCAGCCTCCACCCTGCTCCGGGCTCTTTTCAGGCTGGCCTCCTGTCCTCCCTCCCCTAGCAAGCCATCCGTGCCTTCCCCGGCTTCAGCAGGGCTGTGAACGTGGACGTGTCCTTGCTCTCAGGTGGCTCCCAGTCCAGTAGAGGCCTCCGGCTCGTGCTGCTGGGGCAGGGACAGAGATGGGGAACTCAGAGTGGGGGAACAAGGGCTCTGCCTAGAAGGCTTCCTGGAGGAGGGACATCTGAGCAGGGCCTTAGAAGATGAGTAGGAGTTTGCCGGAGGGATCAGGCTTTCAGCAGAGGTGTAGACTGGATGGAAGGTCAGAATGGAGTGGCGTGACTGCCTTGTCACTTGGGCAAGCGGCAGAATTCAGATGTCATCTTTGTGGTAATTGACATCCTAGCCCGGGTCAGGCAAGGGAGCGCCTGCCTAAGACTGGGGAGAGCAGGGCGGGCTGAGCGGGTATTAAGGGAGTGTTGATTATGGTTCCTGGGCCGGTCTCCTCTCCCCACTACTGCAATAGTTGGAGGGTTTCCGTGCAAGGCTACAGGGCTTGGTAGGGGACAACCATGGTGCTGACTGGGGACAGAATCTTGGGCAGCCAATTAGGAGCTGTGGCCTGGAGCCCGTGGAGGGGCCTCTGGGGCCCAGGCCAGGCTGTCTTCAGCTGGGGGAAGCCCTCTCTTCCCTCCAGTGAGACCCGCCTCCGAGCCGTGTCTCTGTGAGCTGCCAGGCATCGTGGCGTGTGGTTGGGGGTGTGGAGACTCCAGGAGGCATGTGCGTGTTTGTGCCTTTGCGGTTGTATCACTGTTTTCACACATGAGCAAACTATGAACTTCCATGGGTTGGTGGCTTTTTCCATGTCCCGTCGTAGAAAGAATCTGTATGTAATTGGGGAGTGACGGGAGATTTGGAGATAGGAAGGATGTGGAGTGCACATAGAATTGAAGTGTGGGATCTGTGGCAGTCGGGCTGCTTTCTTGACCTGACACTAATCAGGAGGCCTCCAGGGAGGTCCAGAGGTAGGGTGGGTGGAAGGTGGGCTGCCAGCCACTAGCCTTCTTGGCCAGGCCTCCCTGTGAGCTGCTGCCCTGCTTTGGCTTTCTAGACCCCCAGAGCCCAAGGCACACCCCTGTAGCCCCTGCCCCTCTTCCAATAAAGCCTCGGGGGCTGGGACTACCAGGCTCAGTGCAGCTCTGGCCTCAGCCAGGTGATAAATCCAGGACTTCTCCTTGTATGGGAGGTGGGGGGTGGATAAGGCTAGCAGAGCCCAGCCCAGCCCTCTTCCCAGGGTCCAGGTGAGTGGCCGAACTCCGAACTCCGAAACCAGAGTGCTGGCCCCTCCTTCTTGCTAGTCTTCCTCTTGCTTGCCAGAGTGGGGCCTAAGAGACAGGGACACTCTCCAGGGCTTGGCTGGCATAGGCTGGAGGGGCTGGATACAGGAGCGAGCGAGAGAGAGAGAGAGAGAGAGAGAGAGAGAGAGTGTTTGTGTGTATGTGTGTGTGTGTGTGTGTGTGTGTGTGTGTGTGTTCACACATGTGAGGCACAGTGGAACAGTGCTTAGGAATGGGAACCAGGGACGGACCACCTGGATTCTAAATCTGAACTCTCTCTCTGGCTGTGTGTCCTTGAGCAAGTCACTTTCCTCTCTGAGCCTCTATTTTCCCATCTGTAAGATGACCATCCTGATAATCTTAATTTGCTATGAGGATTTCAAGAGGGAATTCCCCCAAAGTGCTCAGTGCATCGCTTGGACGCTTGGAATGTGCACTGGTGGTGTTTTTCTCCTCACCATCATTACCACCAGTGAGCAAAGGAAGAAACGAATGAATGAAGTGAATGAATGATCAAGTCAGTCTCCATCTTCATTGCGTACTGTCTGGCACAGTGCCCTATCACAGGGATGCAGGTCTGGATGAGGTGGGTGGGGGAACGCCCAGCCCAGCAGGTCAGAAACTATAATGAGGCTGAATCTGGGAGGGGAGGAGGAGGAGGCCTAGGTGCCTGCACCTGCCTGAGCTCCTGGGAGAACAGTAAGAGAGGAGGCCAGCTGAGCTATGAGGCTATCGGCTGATAAGTTCCAGGTTCCAGGAGGAGCCTGAGCAGGCCGGTGTGATCAGGGTTGGGCCAAAAAGAAGAAACCACCCCACACTTAAGATATCAAGGAAGACTTCTTGGAGGAGGGACCTCTGAGCTGGGCCTTGCAGTATGAGTAGGAGCGTTCTAGGTGAAACAAAGCAAGCGGCCGCAAAAGCGTGTGCAAAGAGATGGGGAATCCGGGAGGTCTGCTGTGGTGTGGGGCAGGGAAGGAGTGGAGCGGAGGCTGGGGAGGCGGGCAGGGATTGAGCTGTGCAAGGCTTTGAATGTCAGGCCAAGGACCTTGACCCTTCCCTTGGGAAGGCTTTTCAGCTGGAGTAACATGATCGCATTTGCATTTTAGCAAGGTCCTTCCAGCTGCTGCAGGGAAGAAGGTTGGCTGTTGGCAGCCCAGAGCCCTGCAAGAGGCTAGACCTGGAGCTGGAGTGAAGTGGACAAGTTTGGGGAAGATGAGAGGGAAGATCTGCCCAGAGTTTGGAAGGTGGAGCGGGGGTGGCTCTCCCATGGTCCCAGGCCCCAGGCGTAAGTCCCTAAGGGACCTGGAGCCCAGAGAGGGATGGCCACTTGCTCTTAGACCGCTACCTGGCATGCTGGACATCACCCTTGGGGCAGTGCCTCCCTGGGCTGGGCAGCCCTGTCCCTTGTGACGACTGTCCCCCCACTCCCCCTCCCCATCGCCTGCAGCCCCCTCAGCGCCTCCTTCCTGCCTGCCTCCGCAGAAGGGTGCCATTTGGCGTCTAAATAGCATTCTCCCTGCAGGCGTGGAGGCAGGTAAGGAGGTTTAATTAAAATTAGTGCCTCTCTCCTGGCAATCGCGGTGTTTATGAAGATGGGCCCGGCTGGCATTGTTCCGCAGAGGACTTAATCGAAGCTTAATGGATTGACCTAACATTCGATTTCCTGACTCCCATTGAGGCGGCCGCCGCAGCATTCCCTTAAGCGTTTGCAATTTACCCACTGCTCCGCGCCAACAAAAGGCGGCCTGAATAGCAGCCCCACTCGAGGGGCCATTGTGCGCGGGGGCGCCTGCCTGAGTCACCGCTATTGGGACAACATTCTTTATGCCTCGCTGGAATGAAAGGATTATTCAAATATTCAATTAAACCGTGAAAAGGGGGCTTTTCTGAGAACCTGGGGGCCCCCAGCTCCACAGCGCTAGCAGGCTGCTCTCCGAGGTGGGGGTGCCATCTCCCAGCCCCCTCCCGCCTCCCACCTCCAGGACTGCTGGGGCTAAGCAGGCTGTGGGGGGGGCGGACACAGCAGGTTTTTCTCCCCTGGGCCCACCTCCAACCTGCGGTGTCCCGGGGGCCCAGAGCTGGGCACACAGATCAGGCCCGGTTCCCATTTTGCAGGTGACAGACAGCTCAGGGGAAGGGCCTTGCCCAAGGTCACCCAGTTGGTGATAGAGCTGGGATTTGAACCCCTGACATACTAAGGGGGCACCTCCAGGTCTGTGCGACTCCTGCTCCCCCCATCTAGTGGAAGAAGGGCGTGGCGTTCAGTGGGATGTTGGCTGTCACACCCATTATTCCACAGAATCTTCACGACAGTCCCTTAGAGGGGGGTGTGGGGAGGTGGGAGAGGGGGCATGACTTGACAGTGGTCTCTAGGGTGAGGAGGAAGGGGAGTCTAGAGTCCACAGTAGCCTGGGAAACCTAGGATCCTGGGGGTGGAGGCCCTTGGACAGGACTCCTGGATTGGATGAAACATAAAGTTTTCATGTCCCATCTCTCAGGAACTGATGTCCAAGCCTGACGCTGCCTGCACTTACCCACCAGGCTTTGGAGCCAGGAGACCTGGCTTTGTGTCCAGACTCTGGCATTTCCTTGGTGTCCCAGGCACACCCCACGGTCCCTGCGCCTGGGGGAAGCCCTTTTCTGCCTGCCTGGGGGAAGCCCTTTTCTGTCTGCCTGGGTGTCTTTAGGGATTAACTGAGCTAGAGCACGATGCCCTGCGGGTGCCCGGGAACCTGGGTGCACCTACACTGCAGGGTGGTTACTGGGGCTTAACTGATGATGGCTTCCTTTCCCCAGCCCAGTAGCCCACCGCATGGGTGCGGTGGGGGTCTCGAGGCTGCAGAGAGCTGAGAGGTCCAGAGAACAGTTAAGAGTGGGGGCTGTCCCTGAGCGCTGTCCTTGTCCGCACCACCCCCTGCGCTCCACCCCATTGTCCCTGTGGGGAACAGTAAATCCTGGTAAAGCCGAGGCTCTGGTCCTCCCAGCCCCCTCCCACTCCTGCCTCTACTGCAACATCCCAGCCCATCCTCCTCCACCCCCCCCCCCCGCTGTTTCCTCTGGGCCCCCTTACTGCTGTGTGGCCTTGAGCTGGTCCCTACCCTTCTCTGGACCCTCAGCCTCCTATTGCATATGGTCAGAAGGTGGTATCAGGAGAATTGGCCAGCCTGGGCTAGGGGTGGGGGGGTGAGGGAGCAGTGAGGAGAGGTGAGGGTGGGAGGTGAAGGTAGACAGGACTCTATGGGATGAAAACAGGTTGGGACAGGGATGGGCCAGTAGCCACCTCTTTTTTTTTTTTTTTTTTTTTTTTTTTTTTTTTGACAAAAAGAGAACACAAGTAGGCAGAGAGGCAGGCAGAGAGAGAGAGAGAGGAGGAAGCAGGCTCCCCGCGGAGCAGAGAGCCCGACGCGGGGCTCGATCCCAGGACCCTGGGATCATGACCTGAGCCGAAGGCAGAGGCTTTAACCCACTGAGCCACCCAGGAGCCCCATAGCCACCTCTTGTGCTTAGGAGGCCGGCTTCATAGAGGGTGGGGGCTTCCCATGACCTTTGAGTGTGTCTGGAGTAGTTCAGGCTAAGGAGCAGGGCTGCAATGCACAGTTGAACATGTTGTTCACTGCACAAGGGCCCCTAGGCAGGGGATGAATAGGGGCTGATATCCTGCTTGTGAGTCCCTTGCCATACTGTCTCTGTGGACAAGGGGAAACTTCTTTCTAATTGGCATCAAGGTGCCTCATGGGCTCATGGTGATCATGGGGCGGCAAGGGAGAAAGTGACCCTGGCTCACTGCAGGGAGGTGAGGGAGCCAGGGGTGGGGGTGGAGGACAGCGGCCAGATCCTGCCATACGCCTTGGGCCCAGCTCAGGTTTCCCTAAATCCAACTTTGGACAACACAACCCTCAGCAGGCGTACCGGGGGCGGCTGGGGATCAGGGTTGCCAGGAGCATCAGCCCTCCTGGCGCAGTGGGTGTTAAGCGGGATTAGAAGGGCCAAGGGCTGCACATGCTGGGCTCCAGACTCCCCCGCAGCCACGGAGCTGATGGGGATGGGGCAGAAGGGAAGTGGACGGATGACACTGCCTGAACCACTGGAGGCCGACTCACAGGCCAGGCCCCCTTCACAGAGGAAGGAGGCCTTGCGGGCCAGGAGGGGACAGGGCACAATGCCACGGCTCCTAACTGGTGGGACTGGGTCTTGAGCCCCAATCGCCTCTCTCCAAAGACATTTATTTTTCGTGTCTTCACTGCACCTCTCCTGGGTGTGCAGAAGGCACTGGTCACACTCCTCTGTCCCTGGCACAAGCGATCACCGGTCCATGGAGAGCGGACAGCTCTTGCCTCTCCCACAGGCAGCCACGCCTTCATGTTTAACTTGGATTCCTTGTCTGTCCCTGTTCTTACATAATGTGCAGGCTTCTGTGCAAGCATTTTTAATTTATGTAGACGGCTTTGCCTTGTAGATTGAACTCTGGACCTTCCTTTTCTGTTTTTTTCCACGTAGCTCTATGCTTTTAAAGATCGGCCCGTTTGCTCTGTGTAATGTCTGCTCCGTTGCTCGTGTCTCCCATGCGTGACCCTCCCGGGTGCCCCCCCCCATAAATGCAGTTGCCATGAGCATCCACATCCCCCCACGGCCCCATGAGAGAATCTCCTTGTGGTAGTGGAGGCTCTTGATCGGTAGACAAGAGGAGTGCCTGTCGCTGCCTAGAATTGGGCCTGTCCACTGATGGTGATGGGGGGATGACACAACAGGATGGTTTTTTGTTTTGTTTGTTTAAAGTAGTTTCCATACCTGGCATGGAGCCTCACGTGGGGCTTGAACTCCTGACACTGAGATCAAGACCTGAGCTGAGATCAAGAGTCAGAAGCTTAACCAACTGCTCCATCCGGGCGCCCCACGATGGTTCTGACCGTCGGGCTGGGATTGGTGTTGATCATGGTGGGGTGAGAGTAGGGGTTACAGTGGTGACAATACTTGTGTTCAAGTATGTCACCACATACGTGTTCTTACGTGCCCGACACTGTTCTCCAAGCACTTCCCACCGAGCATGTCTCTGAATTCTCCCGACAGTTCTGTGAAGTAGGTACTGTTGTCACCTGTCACATGCACAAGGAGACAGCTGGTGAGGTGGGGACGGTTTTGGAGACAATGGAGGTGTTCATCCTGACCAGTGGGAGGGTGACGGTGACAGTCATGATGGCGGCAGGTGATCGTGGTTGGGGGAGTGATGGTGGCAGTGGCCACGTTTGGGATAACTGCAGAGAGGGCAGTGTTGGTGACAGCTGCTGACGGTGGTGACGGTGGTGACAGGAACGGCTGTGGTGGTTGGGGGGGACGGTGGCGGCGGTGGCCACATTTGGGAGGGACGCGGGGCTGTCGATACCCGCGATGGATGCTGGGGGCTGTGCTCCTCCACCGCTGAGGTGGCGCTGTGGTGGCGACGGGAGGCCTGGTCGCGTCTCTGACGGTAGTGGCGCCCGTGTCTTTGGTGCTTCTAGGGGGTGTTGGCGTTGGCGTTGCCAGTGACGGCGGCTGATGCGATGGGCTGCTGATGGTGACGGAGCCCCTCCCTTTGCAGATGTGAAGTTCCTGAATAACCACAGCCTGGTGAAGGACGCTCAGGAGAAGGCCAACGCCGCCTTGCTCGATTACACCCTGTGCCACTACCCGCACTGCGGGGACAAGTTCCAGCAGCTGCTGCTGTGCCTGGTGGAGGTGCGGGCGCTGAGCATGCAGGCCAAGGAGTACCTGTACCACAAGCACCTGGGCAACGAGATGCCGCGTAACAACCTGCTCATCGAGATGCTGCAGGCCAAGCAGACCTGAGCCTGGGCTGGGCGGGGCCGGGGCGGGGCCGGGCAGGTGGGCGGGGCCGCAGCCGCCCCACCAGGCCCTCCAGGGGACTGAGTTTATTCTGCCCCCCCCAGGCCCTCCAGGGGACTGAGTTTATTCTGCCGGCCCAAGAGCCCCACCCTGCATGCCCCTGCCCCTGCGCTCTCGGCAGCCCCGTGTTTTGGAAGGTGGGTGAGGGGGGACGGGGTCTGGTGGAGGTAGGGTGGGCCCCGCTCGGAGGGCCCCGGAGAAGGCGGCTGCTAACCACCCTCTCACCCTCCCCTTGCTCCCCTGTCTGTCCTGGAGTCTGGACGCACAGATCCGGGGAGGAGGCTCGGGATTCCCTGGTGGGCCTCCATATCCCTTGGGTCCCAAGTTGTCCCTTTCCCCTCTCCGGGAAACAGAAGCAGAGGGACGTTGAGGGGGCACCAAGTGGAGGAGAAGAGAGGGTCTCCAGAACTCCCTCCCAGAGACCAGGAGGGCAGCCCTCTGTTCTGTCAATGAGGGGTCACTGAGTTGGCGAAGTTGGTCAGGCACTGTGGGGCCTAGAGGACACTAGGGGGCAGGTTAGGACCAAGCCTCCCCAGCCCTTCCACCCCCATCTGACTCGTGCAGGGGAGAACTGTGACATGCTATCTGAAAAGAATTTCTCCGCAATCAGCTCTCTCTATCCCTCTCCCACCGAAGGAGAAATTTCTATCCCTCTCTCGCCAGGGAGCTAGAACATTCTAGCCCCACCCATAGTTGGTCAGCCCAGGCTGGTATGTGTCTGCAAAGGCTGTAGTCAAGAGGTTTGTGGGTTTGTGGGTTTCGTTTTTTAATCTAGTAATCTAGATACTCTTGGAAAGGTGGTTATGTAGTGGGGGGTGGGGCAGGGAACGGATTTGAGGACTGAGGCGGGGACTTGAGGATTAGCCCCAAGTACAGCCTACGGTTCCTCTCCGAACACCGCGTGCCAAGGACCCTGTGGGTAGTGCTGGACCATTGTTTCGGTCCGGAGAGGAGCTGTTGCTTGCCCCTCCTTCAGTGAACAGCAGGATGGCCTGTCGGGGCTCGGAGTCTGTGTGTGTGGGAATACGGGTGAACTTGAGGAGGGTGTATGGGTCTCCAGACGGGGGACACTGCTGATAAGCCCCTTCTGCATTGGCCCCGTCCCATTGGATCCCTTGCTGCAAACCTTGGAAGCTGGGTCTCCGCTCCCTGGCCTCCTCCTGCCCTGTGTCCTGAAGGACACTCTCCAGGGCCAGGCGCTAGGGGAGGCCTTGGCTCTCCTTGGTCCCCGCGCTGGGTGTCCACCGGGTTTCCTGCCTCCACGTCGCCACTGCAGCTTGTGCTGAGCCTGCCCAGCTGGAGGTGACTGGGCATCCATGCCCCCCTCGCCTCTCACCGCCCTGTCTCTGTCCCCGCCCCTGCCCACTGAAACATGTACCCCTGCCAAGGCCAGAGACCCACAGCCCCAAAATGAGAAGTGCCCTTAAGAATCTCCCCAGCCCTTGCTGCCCTGGAATAAATTTTGCAATTAGTTTCCAGCTCCCTTTGCCTGTTTACATTCTGGGGCCAAAGCAGAGCTTCCAAGGTGGGTTTCAGTGGTCTGGGGCAGGGCAGTGCTCTGACTGGGATGGGCATGACGGTCAGATAAGCTTTGGTTCAAAACACCAGGCACCGTTGGGGAGCCTGTGGGCCCCATGTCATCCCTGGGATCTTGCCATACCCAGGAGGCCTGGGAGAGGCTTGGGTCTTCCTGGGCCTTGGCCAGAGTTCTAGCCCGGCCGCGCATCTCAACCGCCATCTTGGGAAGAAGGGAGCGGTCATTTCATGAGCACCTACTGTGTGCCATCCCCTCATCTCTCTGTCCCTGCGGTAGCCCAGTCAGGCAGGGGCTATGATCCAGGAGAGGGACTAGGCAGGTGCCCCTCAGTCAGGAATCTGCAGGGACAGATGCAAACCTGGGTCCCTCTGACTTCAGAACACTGGACCTTTCCTCTCAGCCCCTCGGGCCGCCCTGGGCCTGGGACTTCTTCCTGGTTCTCTTGCCTCGCCCACCACTAGGAGGCAGCAGTGAGCACGGCTGATTTCTGAGGCGAGCTGCCTCTTCTGAGATGGCCTTCAGGACTTCACCGGCTTTGTCTCATTTTGTTGTCCCATCTGCTCTTCAAAGCCACTTCGGTAGGTGGCAGCTCCGGATTACAGATGAGGAAACCGAGGTCCGGGGGTTGGGGGGTGAAGTGGCCTGTCCAAGATCACACACCAAGAAGGGGCAGAGCCATCACGGCCACCTTCATCATCCCGACCTGACAAGTTCACGCCGGGGCCACTCACGGTCTACTTCAGGCCTCTGTGCCGATTAGAAAAAAGACGCCCCCTCTAGGGAGAAGTATCCCTCGGCACACAGCTTGGCAGTGGCTTTCATGCAAAGAAAGTGTGTCCCTTTCCTGCCTGGCACCTTCAGAATGGAAGTAGATGCTCTGGTTCCCGCCTCTGGGGAGCATCCAGTCCCACGCGAGGCTGCTTTCTGTCATTTTGTGATCCTGTGTGACCCACCAGTAAGAGCCAGCGAAGGTGAGGAAGGAATTGATTCTTCCCCTGGGGCGACAGGAAGTCTTCTCGGGAGAGGTGTCATCCAAACTGGGTTTTGAGGGATGTTCAGGGGTTTGCCAGCTAAGATAAGAGTTGGGGGCAGCATGGGCAGGCGTCTGGGGACCTAAGCTAAGCTTCAGAAGTTTCGACAGCCTCCATCCTCGGAATGAAATACCCAGACCCCTGTCTCTGCATGATGGGCACCCCCCCTCCCCACCAGGGTAGATTTTGTCCCAGACAGCCCAGGCGGTGCCCAGAGTAGAAACGACACAAAAGGCTGTGGGGAGCGACTTGGGCCTGGCTGGGTCCCAGGGCTTCTCGTGCAGCCCTGCTCCGCCTCCACGCATGTGCACCTCCATCAGGGAGGCTGCTCTGATGCTCCCCGGCTGTGCCACATCCTCCGGCAGCATCTGGGCCAGCCTGAGGTCAGCAGGACAGTGTACACAGTCCCTGGGCCCCTCCTTCGCCTGGCTTCCACCTCAGGGACCACCCGGTGCCAGGCCCTAAGGCTGCTCACCTTGGCCCGGAAACCAGCTCTACCTAAGAAGCGACCCGGACTCACAGAAGAATCAGAATCTTGCCCCTGGCCACGGAATCAGTGGTGGCAGGACCTGCACCTGTAGCCAGAGTGTGAGCTGGGGTCTCTCCGCAGCATGGCCCGTCACACCTGGAGCCTTCCCCCCTACCCCGGTGCCTTCTCTGAGCAATCTTGCCTGGGGGACTCCCCCTCACGGTGACTGCCACCCCTGGCCCCCATGCTACCACCTGGGGAGATCTTCTCTGAGCCTCCGTTTCTTCCTCTGTACACCAAGGGGTGACAGTGGTCACGGGGCTGAGGGAGGACCCACAGCTCTAAGGCAGGCGGGGGCTCAGTACCAGCCGGGCACACAGTAGGTGCTGGTAAGTGTAAGTGTTGGCGGCACCTGCCCTGTTGATGAAACTGGCGCTGTCTTGAGTCCCGAAGACAAAGCGGCCTCTTCCCTTTCCCACCCTCCCGTCAGCATCCTGTCCCCCTCCCCAGGCCAGGGTGATCCCCAGGGAGGAACGGGTCACAGGAGCACCGTTTATTACGACACCTTCCACGGGGCTGTCAGAACTCCGAGGGAGGCGGGAAGGGTGTGCGGGGGACGATCTTGGTCAAAGCTGGGGGGGCCTGAGCTGTGGGGTGCAGCTGTGTTGGCACCGCACGCAGGCAGGGGTCCTACTGGAAGCAGGGGGAGGCTGAGGCCGCTGTCTGTCACGCAGGGGTCCCCAGTGGGACCTTTCAGAGCCTGGGGTAAAGCCTGCACACACTCTCTCTAGAAACCTGGGAGGAAGGGGGGGCTGAGCTGGCAGAGGATCATGCTGGGGGTCCCTGGAGGGGTCTGGAAACTGAGGCTGGGGGGAAGCCATCGGGGGGGGGGGGATTCTGGCCCCCGGGGACCCTGGGCAGTGTCCCCCATTCCCGACCCTCAGATTCTCTCGAAGAACACCTGATGCCCAGAGGCTTTCAGGAAGGGCGGTGGCTGCCTTGTGAGGGACCGGGGCTGGCAGCCTTCGCTCCCCCGCACCTCGTCTCGGGCTACCTGAGAAGGTCGCGGGGTGCGGAGGGGGAGGGGGCTAGGGCGTCCGGAGGGAGGGCGACGCAGGTTGGGGGTCCGGAGGGTGGGGCCGTCGCGGGCCGAGGTGGAAGCGGCTCGTTGCTACGAGCGGCCTTAGCAACGCACCCATTCAGCAGAGACAAAGGCGCTGTCACTTGAGCGCAGAGGCGCCGCTACCGCTCTTGTTCCCACCGGCGCCTCGCCTGCGGGGGTGGGGGGAGGGGCGGGGTGGGGGGCGGGGGCGCGGGGGCTCGCGGGAGCGGGGGCGCTGTCGGCCCCGCGGAATGCCCACCGCGTGCGGGCCTGCAGGGGGCGCCTCCTGCCCACGTTGCGGAAGGGGGAGCCGAGGCTCCAGGGGACCGGCGACACCGGGCAGGGGAGGAAGCCCGCGGGAGCCTGGGGTCCCACTGACTAGGGTTTCGAATGTGCCTCCGCTTACACCGGTGTGACTGCCCCGGTGCCTCACTTTCCCCACCTGCACAATGGGAGGATAGTTTCCCCAGGTCCCCAGGTTAAAGGAGTCAGCCAACGCGGGGCTTTAGCCCTGAGCCCAGCCCCAGTTAGAGCCGGACAAACAGGCCTCTTGCCCATGCTGGGAAGGACCCCTCAGCCTGAGGCGGGGCGGTGCCTGGCAGCCCGCCTACTGCCAGCTGTGCTCTAAGATTGGGGGACTCAGGCTGAGAGAGGCTGACAGTGGCCAGAGGGCCCTGGGTTCCCCTCGGGGCCCCAGCCTCACTCCCTTGCCTGTCGGCCCCCATCAGCCCTGTGGTTGGGGAACGGAGCCTGAGAGGGAAGTGCTCGCTTCTCACCAGGTTTGGAAGTCCTTTCTGCCCAGGAGGCATCAGGGTAGGGGCTCTGAGAGCGCTGGGCCTGGGGGGGCCAGACAGAGCAGGTGCACAGAGGAAGGCAGGCTCCTGGCTCACTGCCTCTCCTGCAGCACCCGCTCTGGGAAGGGGTCCCAAACCTATCCCCTGAGTGCGCCTCTCCCAAAGAGCACTGCCCTTTCCTGACAGGCCCCCAGTGTGCTAATGGGCAACTTTGGGCACCAACAAGGAGCAGAGCAAAAGGAAGGGCCCCCGCAAGCGGTGGGAGGCCAGGTGCACTCGCTTCTCCAATCGCTTCCATCCTGGTGCAGTGGGGCTGCAGGGGAGGGGGTGTCCAGGTGCCAAGGGGAAAAGGGGAGACTCTTGCGGGGGGGGAGTTGTACCTGACACCTTGAATGCTGTCAGCTCCACAGCCTGAGGACAGATGAGATCGTCAGGGAAGGGAGCCCCCACTCCTGCTCCCCCTTGCCCTTGGGGCCCTGGGAAACCTTGGTAATGACTCCCCCACCCCCAGTGGCCTTGGCATTCAGGTTCTGCCCTGCGACTCCCAGGGCCCTACCACCTGGTAACTGAGGAATGGGGCTCCTCTGATCTCCAGAGGAAGTCCCCCACCCCTCCCCTAGTCCCTGTGGTTTCCCCTACCCTGTGGGACATACTTGCTAGCCCCCTGCCACCCCTGTCCCAGCCTCACCGGCCTCTCAGGTTCTGCAATGGAGGAGAAGGTTGTGGGGATTCTGGGGCTGTGGGTCCCTACAGGACAAAAACCCTTTTCAGAGACTGAGAAGCTCACTCTTTGCTCTCCTGCCCTGGACAGGACCTCATTATCAAAGACCCTAAGGATCCACTCAAAGGTTTACTCCACAGATTAATGAAGAAACTAAGGCCCAGAGAGGGAAGGTAATATACCCAAGGGCACACAGCAGGTAAACTAGGAAATGGGACTGAAACTCCCGGCCTAGCCTTGAAGTCATTCAGCCCATGCTCTATCTCAGGGCCCCAAACCTCATCTGCCCTCCTGGCTTTGGAACCCCCAAACACCCTTTGGACAGAGACCCAAGGAATGTGACCCTGGTCCAGCCCTGCCTCTGGGCAGGGCAGCTGGGGCCCCTGTTCCCTGGTGGTGGTGGAAAAAAATAAGCCACTTCTAAGCCATCCCCCAGGCCCCATGCTTGAATTCCCTGGGCCTCAGTCTCTTTGCCTTTCAGATGGGCTAATAGGATCGCCATCGCCTTCCCAGATTTACCTGTGCACCAGGGAAACCAAGGCTCTGGGTAGTACAGACTGGGGGCTGGTGTGGCCTTACCTCTAAGAGCCAAGTGTCTTCGGGCTGGAGCCAAGGCTGCAGGGCTGTCCTGAGCTACCTCCCAGGGACCCAGGGACCTCGGGTGGGACGCTGGGCCCATGGGGCTGGAGCAGGCCTGAAAGGAAGGGGTGTGGCACTGACAGGGAGTGGGACCTCCCGCCCCAGGATCCCCACCTGCCAGCACCCACCGTGAATGCCTCTGTTGCCTTTTTCTCCGTCATCTTCTGCAGGGCGCTCCGGACCTGGGGGTTGGGCAGGCCCCACGCCCTGACCCCCAGGCACAGGTGCCCTGCAAGTTAGCCCTGCCCATCCCACCCCCAGCCACCCATATCCCCAACTCACCTCCCCGTTGTAGGCGGCATAGACCAGGAAGATGTACGGCCCCTGGGGACAGACACAGCATGTGGATGGGTGTCACTGCCTTGGAGCCAGCCCCCTCCACCGCTTGGCCCCGGGGCCACAACAGAGACACACTGAGAGATACCCAGAGACACTGAGAGACACAGGCAGATGAACACAAATCCTACTCTGTCCCCCTCCTGCACTTGGGAGGGGACATCTGTGACATTCTATGGCAGAGAGAACCAGAAGGGGCCCTCCCCTACCTGACCCCATACCTTCAGCCTCTGGCCACAGGTAGCCTCTCTGCCCTCTTGTCCCTCTTTGTCCCCCCACTCCCACCTGCCCCTTCCTCACAGCCTCATCATGGCTGCAGGAGTTCCTGAAATCAAGGCTAACTCCAATCCTGGGACAGCAGATGTGTGAATGCTTGCTGATTCATGCCTCTAGCTGCGTGTCTCTCTGACTCTCTGTCTCTTCTTCTGGAAAGCAGAAGCCAGGACTCAGCTCCTGCTGTGTGTGAAGGACTCAGCACAGTGTCTGGGCTGTAGCTGGCTCTTCCTGCTCACACACATGAGGCCCAAGAGGGCCTGGCCACTCACGAAGTACCGAAGTACCGTCACACACACAGGGTGACGACCCTCATAGCAGCTCCATGCTGAGAGGGTGGGGGTGGCTTAATCCTTCCTGTTTGATGGAGCAGGACCCTAGGGCCTGGGGCAGGGGACAGAACAATGAGTCCTAGGCCAAAGTGTGACCCAGCAGGTGGAATTCGGAGCCTAGGCCTTCTTCAGATTCTACCTGGACAGGCCACAGCCCCTGCCATGAGGCTCAGACTGGAGGACACAGGTTGGGGTCCAAGAGCCCTCCTTGAGGCTTCTAGCTTCAGCCTCAGAGCCTGGCTGCTCCGCCTGGTTCTTAGCCCGTAACTGGGTTCGTACCACCCTCCACCCTAAGACAGACCGTGGTGCTCCCCAGATTCCCGCACCTCCCCACCCCCAGCTAGCCTGTCTTCCCTCTGCAGCCTTTCAAACAAAGGCAGCTTTCCAAACCCCACCCAACCCCACCAGCACCTCCCTGCTTAGCATTCTCCGAGGCTCCCTGGCACCCCTGGGATGACATCCGAGCTCCTTACAATAGCTCTGGGGACCCTGCACGGTCTGGTCCACATGTGTCCTCCTGTCCCATTTCTCACCAGCTCATGTGTCCCCCCCTTCATGTCTCTGCTGGCTCCCCCCATATTTCCCTGACCTAAAACATTCTTCTGTCTCACTGAGTCTCAGTTGAGAATCACTCCCTCCAGGAAGCACCCTTTCTGTGTCCCCACGAGTGGCTCCTCTGTCCCCAGCCTGCCCCCATGTCCCCTCAGCTTCTCAGCCTCCGCCATGTCCTGCCGTGGGCGTGTGGCCTCGTGCTCGGATCCTGGGCACTAGCAAGCTCTCTCCAGCACAGAGCCCACAAAGGTTCTCCCACCCATGGTGCTTCTGGAGGGTGCCACGTGTGGCACTCTGCCCTTTGCAGACATCCCCTCCACTGAACCCCACCAGGATCCCATGAGGTGGAGACTAGGATCCCCTGTAGAGAAATGTGGAAGCTGAGGCTTGTCTCAACTCGTCTGGGCCTCCCAGCAGGACGCCGCACCGGGAACCGGAACTGGTCAGAAGCGTGGCGTGGCTCTCCTGCCCGGAAACCTGGCCTGGGAGCCACAAGAAGACACATCAGCCCTACAGAGGGAATGAGGCCCCGCTGAGCCCAGTCCCTCTGCCCTGGGCCTGCTGTAGGGAAGGAGGGCAGTCCTGAGGGCAGGTCCTGCCCAGCTGATGGCCCGGCCACAGTGCGAGAGGGACACCCGGAGGTGGGTGGGGTGAGGAAGACAGGGAGGGATGGCAGGAGGAGAGGAAAGGCCAGGCGTGGGGAGGGACCCAGAGGACTCAGCCTGACTGGGGAACCTTCCTGGAGACGGTGTCGGGAATGGCAGGGTGGGCCCAGGTCACGCATCAGCTGACCCCGTAAGGCAGCCTTTTCCCTCTTTCACAGGAGACCTTGGCAAGGAAGGTCTGCGGCTGACTGGGAGGAGGAGGGGGTCACGCTTAAGGACAAAAGCTGGGGGAGTCAAGGGTCAACAGAAAGGGACACATAGAGGGAGGACCATGCCAGAGGAGAAGGGGATGGAGAAGGAACCTCAGAGAAAATTCAGAGACAGAGATGAAGAAGCGAGACAAGGGGAGAGGAAAGGAGGGAGGGGGACAGAGGGAGGGAGGCGGGGAGGTGGCCACTGCGGTGGTGGCCTTGGCAATGGGCTGCTGCCACCTGGCCACCCCTGGAGGGGGGTGGGGGCACCCCAGGCAGGGTCACAGGCTAACCCGGCAGGGCCCACGTTTGAACCCAGGATGCTCTGGAGGCGTGGGGCTTGAGGAAGGGCTTGTCTGTGTCCAGGAAGGGGTGTAGCGCTGCCCTCCGTCCCTCACTGCTCAGGCCCACACAGGTGTCTGGGAGCTGTGTTTCTTTGGGAATATCTGGAAACCCCGTTTTTCTTCATTTTCTAGGCCTGTCTCTGGGCATGGCGCCTCCATGCTCCCCCAGCAGCGGCCCCTTCTTTCCTCTCTCCACTCCCACGCCTGGACGAGAGTCCCCACAGCCCAGGCCGAGAAGGCGACATGGACCAGGACCTGGTAGTCACTACCCACGGCACCCTTCCTCGCTCCCTGCCCCCACCCAAGACTTCACGCCTGGCCTTGGCCGTGGCCGGCTCCTTAAGAACACGGCATTTTGTAGCCTCCATTCCTGCTCTGTCCCTACTGCCTGGAACAGTGCCTGGAGCCGGCACCTCCTAGGTGTTCGACAGGTATCAGGAGGATGGATGAACGACTGGATCAGGCCCTTCCTGATGCCGGCTCCGCCCCCCTCCACCGCCCACCCCACAATCTCTGCAGCTCTTCCAGGAATCAGCCAGGCCACATTCGGCTGCCTCCCCCCCCACGCCCTGCTGCTCCTTCCTCCCTCGAGGCCCTGGACCATGACTTCATGGGGTCTGTCTCCTCATGTGTAAGGCCTATTTGCAGACACAAATATAGGACAGAGGCTCTGTCCTGGGCCTCAGAGCACCTGGGCATCAAAGTGGCTGTTAATACCCTCGGGCCCTTCATCCCAGGAGGGGTGGAAAGGCCCCCAGGAGGACCTCTGGGACACATGGGGTCTGGACAGAATTTGTACCTTATTTCCTGAGCTTTCTTTGTCCATCCCCGAGCCACTCCTTTTCTCAGCCCTGACAGGAGCTGGGCAGCATAAGGGCGGACAGCAGGAAGAGGGGCCGGGGGTGCAAGGGAGGCTGAGGGGAAGGGCAGGGGTGGAGAGGCCCTGCCTGGACCCACCTCCCTCCCAGCACTCAGGCCCCTGGGGTGTGCCTATCTTTGTCTATGTCTAGGTCCCCCCACAGGACCGCCACCCCCTGAGGACAAGGACCGAGTCTGACTCCTCTCAGAGACTCCTGGGCACAGGCCCATGGGAGGCCTCTGGTGGCGCCCCTGTGACGGCCTCTTTCATGTGGGCTGAGTGTTGTCCTCCTGACCACAGCCTCTCCTCACTGCCGTCCTCACCAGTGCCCCACAGCAGCCCCCCCCCCCTGCTGAGCCTGAGGGCAGAGGTCCCAGGAGTCCTGCGCCCCATTCTTGGCTTCCTGCTGAGACCTGAAGTGGCTCTAGCGCCAGCCCAGGGCCTGGAACTGCTGCCACACCCCTGAGGGTCTGAACCTCAGCTCCCTCAACTGTAAAATGGGCACAAAATCCTCCCTGACGTGCTGCCTCTTTGATTCAAAGGTTGGTTCCCACTCTCGCCCTCAACTTCCTGTCTCTTGACAACGTCCCCTAGCTGCTGTTGGTGCCTCCCACGGCCTACAGGACACTCCTTTACCCACGGACAACCCAGTCCCTCCCTCTGAGCTCCACTATGCGTCAGAGCCCTGGTCCCAGGTGGTCCAGGGCCTAGAAGTACCTGGAAGGAATTGAGGCCCACGGCGGCGTAGGCCCAAGCCGGGCTGAGGTGCACCAGCACGCCGACCAGCCAGGTCAGTCCCAGGACGGGCAGCAGGACCAGCACTGGCTTCACCATGGCCCTGCGGGAGAGCAGGCCGGGCTGAGGGAGGCCAGGCCGGCCTGGGAACCCCTGCAGGCCGCTGGGGGTGGGGGCACGAGGGAGGTGCCCGGCGGGGGGTCAGACGCGCAGACTGGGGACCGCTGCTTAGGACTTAGGTGCAGCTGGGATCTTCAGCGGGACTTGGCTGTCCCTTCTCAGACCCAGAAGTGGTTGGCACTGGGGAGATGGGGTCCCAGTCCCAAACCTGGCTCAGAGGAAGGGTGCGGCAGCTGCCCAGAGGGAGGGCTAAGGACTGGGGGGGAGCCAGGTGGCATGGAGTCCAAAATCTTCCCTTCCCGGAGACCCCTGGGGCTCTCTGGCTTTTCAGTTCCCCCATTGGCTTGGGCTGCCCTGCCCTTGGCAGAGGATGAGGGCGGGGAGAGGAAGGCCATGGGCATCCTCCTTTCAGCAGGACATGGCCCTGGAGAGTGAGGAGAGTTCTTGCAAGGGTAGGGACCTAAATCCTCACTCTGAACCTAAACTTCTGGGGACCGCCTGATCGAGGGGTCTCCCCTACCTTGTCCCTACCAGGGCATCTGTGCTATCAGTAGACAGTGAGCCCCCAGGACAGCGGCTTGTGTCTACAAACACCTCCCACCCCTCAGCACTTAGGGCTGATTACTGCCCCCAGGTGACTTGCGAGGTCACGTGCTCACCCTCGTCCACACACACGAGCATGCGACACCTGCTCAGGTCCCGCCTTGGCCCCGCGAGCACACATGGCCTTAGGACCACATCCTGCCACCACAGACTCGCACAGGCCCCCATCCAGTGAGCCTCCCGCGTGCTCCCCCACTTCTGGGCCTCACCATGTCTGGATCCTGACCTGCTCCTGCAGGCAGGGCCGTGGGCTCAGCATGCGGGCGCGGCGGTGGGTGCTGGCCACAGTGACCATCACTACGCGGACCAGGATGCACGTGTTGGCCTGGAGACCGGGCGTCAGTGGGTGAGAGGGCCTCCCCTTTCCCCAGCGTGACCTGCCCACCCCTCTAGGCCCCCAGGTCACCCCGCTCACAGTCAGCACGAAGAGCACAGGCCCCACAAAGGCCCAGATGATGTCTGTGTGTACGTTGAGCCAGCAGTGCCCGGCCGCCACATAGTCATGGGGAGACAGGGCCAGGGTGACGGCCACAATGGCCGCAGGCACACCTAGGAGAAGAACGAGTGTCCCTCGGACCATGCCTCGCAGCCTGAACTCTCCCAGACCCGGCCCCGCCCCCAGGACCTGACCCGGCCCCCAGGATCTGGCCCCGCCCCCAGGACCTCTTCCCTGCCCCGCCCAGAGCAGCCACCCAGGGCTGTCCGTGGCAGCAGGTGCACTGTGGGCACGGGGAGCTCTGGTTGGGGCTCTGGATCCCAGGTGGAGACGGTGACCGGAGGGTGTCGGACAGCGAGAGGCCACATGAAGCAGACTTGAGAACAGAGCAGGAGCGGGGAGCAGGGGGCCTCACCCCAGCCTGTGGTGTAGTAGAGCGCCATCCGGGGGCCCGGGCGCATGCTCACGACCACCACCTTGCTCCAGAGCAGGAGGCCCTCCACCAGCATCCAGGAGAATGCCACCAAAAAGAGGTGGTGCATTACGGCTGTGACGGCCACACAGGCCACCTGTGGGTGGGAGGGTGGCAGAGCCCCACCAAGGCCAGCTGTGGGCGCAGCCCAGCTCTGGGTCCCACGCCCGTGTCTGGGACCACCAACGCAAGGATGTATCCGTGGGGAAGGTCTCTGGAAGCGCCCCCCGCCCACCTCCAGCATTCGGGGTTTTGTTCATCTCTGGGCCATGCTCCCCCCAGGAAATGGAGCCTAGTGAAGTGGGGGGCAACCCAGAAATGGCTGGTCCCCCCTGAGCTCACAAGCACACCTGCTGGGTGCCCACCTTATTGGCCTTTGCCCACTCGCTGGCCATGAGGAAGCCCTCGGCCGAGGCCAGGGAGAAGGTAAGATTCTTGTGGACCGTGGTTCGCTCTGACTTGGGAACCCTGGACAGGCAGGGGTCCGTCAACAAGGTCACCACTAGCAGCCCCCACCCACTATCCGCCCCTGCCTGCTTGGGTCCCCGTGGGTGAGCTAATGAAGACAGAGATGGTGGTTTCATGGGGGCCCACAGCCCTAAGGGAGACCCCGGGCCAGGGGCTTCTTGGACAAGGATGGACACAACGGGAGCTCGTCTCACCCGGCTGCCAGGAAGAGCAAGAACGTGGTGGCCAGGGCACAGAAGGACACGCCGCAGCCCACAAACCAGAGTGTCCTCAGCAGTGACTCCTCCTCGGCACTCCTCTGTGGGCCGGCCGAAGACCCCGGAGGACAGTAACCCCATCACAGCCCCAACCTGAGCACACCGGGTCTTGCCCTGTCCCAGCCCAGCAAGGCTCCCCAGACCTCCTTGTCTGCGGTGACCCAGGGATGGCAACGGCAGCAGCCAGCAAGGCCAGGCTTACATACAGCAAGCACTTAATACAAGAGCATTCGCCTGTCGTCTCCCGCTGGCTCTCCCTAACCTGGCCCTGACTGGTCCCGCTTTTGCTGATGTCAAAGCTCCTGAGAGCCCTGGCTGAGAGGTGACTGAGGCAGCCACAGGGAGAGGATGGCATGTCACAACCCCCCCACGCTGGGGGGAGGGGGCATGGAGCTCACACGCAAACATGGCCACTTTCTGCTTTTACAGGACAAACGTGTCTGTGGCATGTTTCTCTAGTGTGCTCCCCAACACGCCGAGGAACCCTGGCGTTCCTGAGCCTCTGGCGCTGTGTCACTCAGTCTCTTAGCAAGTGACCCCTCCGAGTCCCTTGTCAGCTCTAGTGAGCACACCGGTCCCGCTCTGCTCTTGGGATTGGGTGTAAATGCTGGGTCTTTCCAGGGGCCTCCCTTGCTTTGGTCTCAGTTACTTCTGACCTCATCTCAGCTACGGCTTCACCTGCGGGCCCTTCATCTCCAGCTGAGACCTCTCCCACCCCGAAACCCTCAGCCCCGTGGCCTGCCCCACCCACCTCTGAGATGACTCCCTCACCCCACCCCACCCCCCTGCTGCCCAGGCCTTTGTCCCAGACCCCCTCCTCCTCCTTCAGTCCTGTGTCCTCCATTGGCCAGCTGTCCCCCCATGCAGGGCCTGCCCCCTGCCCACAGACCCCTTGAGGCTCTCTGCCCCTCCAGCTCACTCCTGGCACCAGAGGGCGCCTTTGGGGCAAAGCCAACACCTGCTGAACACATTCACGACGGTCCCCTGCAGACAGGACCCCTAGGATCGCCGTCTGAGCGCCTGAGCATCCTGGGCTCTGACCTCTGCCACTCGTCCCTCCATCTTCTTCCACTCCTGGGCCCGGCACAGGCAGCTCCAGAGACGTCGAAGTTCTCAAATGTGTCGGAGTCAGCCTGCCATTTCTAGTCTCCTTGCCTTTGCTCAGACTGGCCCTCTGCTGGGGATGCCTTTCTGTTCAGTTCTTGGTCACCCTTTAAGACTTGGTTCCGACATCGCCTTCCCCCATGGCCCTGTCCCAACCCTACCTCCCTGGGACTCACCTGAACGTCATACACCTGCAGCAGGACCGCAAAGTTGGTGCTGTGGTTGCAGAAGCAGGCGGTGGAGGCCTCGTACAGGGCGGCCACAGAGCAGCCAGCGGTGGCCCATGAGCCCCCTGTGTCCGGGCTGGGGGAGGGCAGGGAACAGAAGGGCTCTTGAAATGGGAAGGACGTGGGGGGGGGTAGGTGGCAAGCAGGGGACAGCCTCTCTTGGGGCTTGGGGCCCATCGCCACTCTGCCTCTAACCAGCTTTGCGACTTTGGGCAAGCCTCTGCCCTTCCTGGGGCCTCAGTTTCCCATCTGTAAAATGGACTTAACGCTCTTAGGGATGATAGGGGGCCATGGGGCCAAGACCAGTGATTACAACTGATTAATGGCATTAATTACTAAGTGACAGTGATCTACGTTCAGCCAAGGATCCAGGGCTGGGAGCTGAGGCTCATCTCTGAACCATCTTCCGCTCCTTCAAACATCGAAGCGGCCTGGCCTGGGACATATCATCAAGTCTAACACCTATTTGACAGATTGGTCTCTCCCTAGGCACCCCACAGAGTGAGCTCGTGTATCTCCCATGATGGGGAGCTCACTATCTCCTGGGTCACAGCTTCTCTTGCTCCAGCTTGTCCTGGAGTTGGGGAGGGGCCCGAGGCAAGACAGGTGGTGACTGGTGACCCAAAACACACCTCATCCTCAAGCAGAATGGATGGCTTAAAAAAAAAAAAACAACTAACACCAAATTGCCTTAATTAAAGAACTGGGAAGTGGAAACTCACCTGATACTGAAGTTCCAGAAAGCATAGACAGGCTGCGCCAGGCTCAGCGGGAAGGCCTGAGGGCCTAAACAGGGCCAGAGCAGGCGTGTGAGTGTATATGGAGGGCCTGGGGCAGGGGCGTGGATGCATACGGAGAGCGGAGACCAGGAGGGTGCAGGGGGATGGTGAGGTCTCTGAGTTGGAGGGACTGGGGGTTGCCCAGCATGGGTCACAGGTGAAGAGGTGGGGAAAAAGGCCAGTGGGGAGGCAGAGGGGAGGGAAGGGCAGGAGGCTGGTGTGCCAACATCATGTATGATATTGAAATACTGGGAACAAGTTAAATGCCCATCCTTTGGGGAGTGGTTAAACCACTGTGACTCGTCCCTCTTGGCGACCAGCTCTGCACCTGGTAAGATGAACAGACAGGTCTCTATCTATCGGCAGGGAAAGAGCTCCGTTATACTTTGCTGAATAAAGAAAAAAGCTGCGTATCATCACGCATAGTATGAACTCACTTATGTAAAAAAAAAATACATACATACGGTCTATGTAATTGTGAACACATACACACAAGAAGTCTGGGATTAAATGCACAGCTAATTCAGTCATGGCTAGGTCTCAGTTTGAATGTGTCATAATGAACATATTAATTCTTTGGTAATTAAACAATGACAACTACATGGATTTTATAAGACGTCATTAAGCAACCTGTGGTACCAGCCCCAGTGCAGGCCGGGAAAGCAGCCTGAGTTCAGGACTTGGGCTACATGTCCCCACGGACAAGGACAAGGGTAACAGCAGTGTGACCTCACTAGAACAGGAGACTCTGTGTCATGTTCTTCATGTCCTTTATTGCGGCTGATCTTCATAACAACCTTGGAGACAGGCATAAATTCATGTAATTTCAGATGAGGAAATTGAGCTTCAGAGAGGGATGTTAGTCTGCCCAAGATCACACAGCACAGAGCTGAGGGTGGGCCCTGACTTGGTTATGCTGTTTCTGCCACTCTGTGATTCTCTAGAGACTGTGGCATTTCTTGGGCTGACTGAATTATCACCCCATGTATTCATTCACCCGTAATATTTTTTTCTAAGTATCTGAATCTATGTTGGGTGCTGGGAACATAAAGAAAACCTGTTGATTGCTTTTAAAATGGATGATTTTGGGGCGCCTGGGTGGCTCAGTGGGTTGGGCCGCTGCCTTCGGCTCGGGTCATGATCTCGGAGTCCTGGGATCGAGTCCCGCGTCGGGCTCTCTGCTCAGCGGGGAGCCTGCTTCCTCCTGTCTCTCTGCCTGCCTCTCTGCCTGCTTGTGATCTCTGTCTGTCAAATGAATAGATAAAATCTAAAAAAAAAAAAATAAATAAAATAAAATAAAATGGATGATTTTGGGGGCATCTGGGTGGCTCAGTTGGTTAAGTGTCTGACTTTAGCTCAGGACATGATCTCAGGGTCCTGGGATGGAGCCCCGTGTTGGGCTCCTTGCGCAGCGGGGAGTCCGCTTGTCCCTCTCCCTCTGTGATCTCTCTTGCTTTCTGACAGAGTCAGGCAGGGTCAGTGTAATCGAAAAAACCCTGCAGAACCCAAGTTCATTTTGGACCCTTGCTGGGGAAGGGGTGGCTCTGGACTTGACCTTGGTCAAAGCCTATACATGCTAGGATTCAGCAGCCATGACAAAAGACAGGGTGGCAAAGAGACATCTGTGACTGAGACAATGCAGAAAACACTTTCAGGGAAAACAAGAAACACAATAGTTCACGTGACTCAGCTGAAGGAGCCAGGACTTGGATTTTGCAAAAGGCAAAACAAAAAACCAAAATTACGGCTTTAGGAAAAATTTAAGAAAAAACTATAGAAATCAGGACAAACTAATCATAGTATGTCCATATAGTGGAATCTTACTCAGCAATAAAGAGAAGCAAATTACTGAAATGGGAAACAATATGGATGATTCTCCAAAAACCCCCAGTGACACAGCGTACACTATGGTTCCATTTATGGGAAACGCTGGAAAAGACAGACAGAATCTACAGTCATAAGAAGCAGATCAGTGATTTCCTGGGGTGAAAGGGAGGGAAACCTAGGGAAACCTGCCTGGCGGGGGGACACAAAGAAGCCCGTTGGGAAGGTGGAAATGGTCTTTACCTTGCTTGGGGTAGTGGTCCCTGAGTGTATATGCGGGTCAAAACCCACCACGTTGTATAGTTAAAATGGACACTGCAGTGTATGGAGATTGATTTTTACAGTCTTGGGATGACATACCGAAGACTGATAAACTGTGGGGGGTGTGTATGTGTGTGTTCGTGTCTAGGATTAGTGGCCGTGGGTAAAAGCCAACTTTAGATTTCTCTGAAACTAACGTTGCAAAAGCAGGAAGGAATGTGTGTATTTCACGTGATGAAATGAAGCAAGGTTTTTTGGCGATCTTTCCAGATCAGTTTATAGAAAAAGACCTGTTCCTTGCATAACCCTAGGGGATGGACGATTCCAGGGTGTAGCTGCATATGGCTTTTTGCCCAGTCCCCCTTGGTGGACACTTGGGCTCTTCCAGCTCTCAGGAGCACGTGGCTGTGTAGGTTTCTGCACATGTCCCTGGATGTTCCAATGGGAACCACCAACGTTTCGAGTCATGCACACCGATAATGAAAGCCCAGCTCTGCCACTTATAGGCTGGGGCCCATCACAGCCCCTCCGCCAAGCTCACTCTTTGCTGTGTCGAATGGGCAGTTGGAGAATTACATGGACGTTGCTTATTTAAGTCCCCCAGCACAGAGTGAGTGTGTAATAAACCAATTTCCCTTCAGGTCCTGGAATACAAAGGGGTACCTTGGGAATGAGTATTTCTCTTGTACATTTTTAGACCTTGGTTCAGTTGAATGCATATTGGGGAAGGGGGACACCAAACCAGGGTAAGTGTAGTGGGGTGGCAGTTCCCAGAAGTACCCCCCATGCCCAGTACCTGGGCCTGGTGCTTCAGGTGAAACGTCACGGATGTGCTGACCTCCCCGGTCTCATCCCATACCTCAGAGGAGATGATGGCCGAGCCCAGCCGGGTGCTTAGAAACCTGTGGGAAGAAAGGGAGCTTTTAAGGGCACCAGCTGACTGTGCAGGAGAGGTTGTGGATGGCCTGGATATGCAGAGATGACACCCTCTGTGTCCAAAGAAACATCAGGAAAGGTCCTGTGCTTGGCATTAGGGCATACGAGTTCCAGTTTTGCCTTGGGGACTTCCTAGGAAATTCAGTAAGTCTTGTCTTCTCCGTGAGTCTTGACACTGAAGCCTGGACCCAGACAGTGGTCGAGCCAGGATCCAGGGGCACGCCCAGCGTTGTGTGTGTTGGGGATGGGGAGGGTTTGGTTCTGGGTGCTAAAGGCAGATTTGTCTCTCAGAATGAGGGCTCTGGCATGGGATGGAGGCCTGGACCTCCCTGGGGAGGGGATCCAGACCCTCAGCAGCCTACTGGCTGGGCCCCACTCACCTCTGCGCCTTGCTCGCCTCTTCTGAGCTGTCAGGGGCCTGGGGCTCTAGGTCGGGCTCCCCTAGGGTGTGCTGGAAGATACTGGAGCTGAACCAGCTGTGGATCACGGTGACTCTGGAGAGGCCTGGCTGAGTGGGAGGGGGCCCAAGACCCCACCCTGTGTCTGAGCAAGTGCCACGGGTTGGCCCCGAGGGAGATGCTCTGCTCACCTTACAGACAGGGAAACTGAGGCTCATAGAGATTAATTGCTTTCCCAAAGATCACACAGCTAATAAGTAGTGGAACCAGAATTCCAACCAGCCACGGCTCATGCGCTTAACCTGGCAGCTCTAAGGCCCTTTGCTGCATGTCCTGATCCTCCCGCCTCGGGCGGCAGCAAGCTAAGGGCCTCCTCCACCACCCCCTTCCAAGAGGCAACGTGTGGTTCAGTGGAGGAGACGCAGCGAACATCTATGATGTGACAAGTGCTTTTAACCTCATAATCACCCGTAAGGCAAGTACAAAGAGGACAGTCTTCCAGGCAAGGAAACAGGCTCTGAACAGTGAGGTGACTTATCCAAAGTAGCAGAGTTAGCAACACGAGCTGACCCAGACCCCAAGAGGAACCCACTCCCCCCCTCCCACCCTCCGTACCCACCTTTCCTGAGGAGCTGCTCCACTTCTCCCGCGGGGATACGGATGTGGCCGGGCCCCTCCGGATGTCCACGGGGCATCGTGAACACACAGCCCTCTCTGCTGGCTTCCCCCAGGTGTAGGCTCCGCACCTCCAGACCTGGGACCAAACGGGGCTGCGTGGCTGGACCTCCAGAGGGAGGTCTTTCTGCTGAACCAGACACCGCGGCAGGGTCGGCTTCCCCTCTCCTTCAAGTCCAGAAGAGGGGAATCACTGAGAGGCATTCCTGGGGGCCAGGATCCAAATACCAATGCACCCCAGAAACCAATGGGTTCCCAAAGGACACAGGTTTTTGCCAAAGTTCCAACCATCAATCCACAAACACTGAGTGTGTACTGGGGTCTGGCCTGAGAGGCAGAAATGGCTCAGAGACGGTCCTGTACTCAGGGGGACTCAGGAGGAAGGAGGTCATCACCACAAATGCAAAAAGATGTGTTTGCATATGGGGTGTTGGCAGAAGGAGGAAATGACTGTCAGGAGAGCTAAACCACAGGAGGCTTCCTGGAGGAGCTGATGCTCCAGCCAGGTTCTGAAGGATAGATAGGAGTCTGCTAGGAGGTCAAGGGAGAGAGGGCATCTGGAGGGAGGGCACGGCGCGGGCAAAGGCAGGAGACTGACTGGAAGTGATGGAGGTTGAGAAGAGACGTCTGAGCTCCGAGGGCCCAGCTGGGTGGGACGGGTGGCTCACAGGCTCACCGGCTCCGTGGCGCTGGATACGCAGTCCCGGCCGCTCGGAGGTCAGCACGGTGCTCAGCATGGGTGCCAAGCGCTGGACACTTGCCACCAAGGCCATGGGGCTGCCGACCACCTGGAAGGAGCCGCACCTCAGCTCCCCCCCCGCTCTGCATCCTGCTGCCACCCGCCCTGACCGGTCGTGAACGTGTTCCCAGGGATCTGTGAAGTGGCCGGCCTGCTCCAGACACTTGGTGGCTGCTCAAGCCTCCAGGATCGAGTCCTGGGTCCTCAGACTGGTGTCTGGGGCCCGGACCCATGGGCCTCCTCTGTCCTCTCCGAGCCTCTCCTGAGCCATCATCGGTGCTAGCCCAGGCAAAGGCCTCCCAGAGCTCCGTGCCTGCTGGCCGCTCGTTTGCCATCGGGGCACCCTCCGAAGCTCCCTTCCCCAGGGGAGGCATTCCGTGGAACCAGGGCCGCCTGTTGTGTCATCTCCAGCCCGTCCCCAAGCCTCGGGCCCGGTTCCGTCCTCTCAGGCCAAGAGGCACCACCTCTGCTCCTCCTGCCCCAGAGACTTTCAGGTGATGTCTATGACCCCTCGTCTCTCCCTTCTCTAGGCCGACTGCTCCCAAGCCTACAGCCACTTCTGCCCGAGGATGTTTCCAACGCCCTTGCCATCTGGATAGCAGCTGTCCTGTTCTCCTGAGCGTCTGGGCTGCTTTGGAAGACAAGATGGCTGAACACTCAGCAGAGACGTCCTCCCTCTTAGGGGGGTCGCCAGACTCTTGGATCTGGGGGAGGTCCTTATGGATTAGTGGCTCTTATTTTCAACTGTAGAAACTATTCTTCAAGCGTAGTTGTGTGTGGGAGTCCAACTTTCGTAACAGATAAAAGAGGAACTTCTGGGGCGCCTGGGTGGGTTAAGCATCTGCCTTCAGCTCAGGTCACAATCCCAGGGTCCTGGAATTGAGCCCCACATCAGGATCTCTGCTCAGCGGGGAGTCTGCTTCTCCCTCTCCCTCTGCTGCTCCCCCTGCTTTTGCTTTCTCTCTCTCCAGCTCTCTCTCTCTCAAAAAAACAAAAACACAAACAAAAACAAAAAAGCTCTCTCTCTCTCTCTTTTTTTTTAAAAGAGGAGCTTCTTTTGATAGACGGAGCGATAAAGCTCCACAACGGGTGCTGACTGGCCCATGGCTACACAAGAAGCTGGAGGCAAGGACGGAATGGGAGCCCAGGCCTCCCCCACCGCCCCCACCCCGAGCCCTGCCCGCCTCACCTCGCTGACTGAGAGCCACGTGCCGGCCAGCTGCTCCTCCCGGACCAAGCTGAACACGGACACGATGCCCTGACCTAGCTGCTCCCAGGGCTCTGTCAAGGGGTCTGGCTCCCCAGCCCCGAGGGCTGTCACCCTCTTCAGGAAGTGGATGACGGCCAGCAGTGCCGTGGGCCCCAGGGGAGCCACCTCCTTTGCCAGGACTCTCCAGGATACCCAGGAAGCTGCAGGCCTCAGCCGGCGACAGGTGTCCATGGACTTCAGAGAGAGGGTCCGGGAGGAGCTGTGGGCAGAGGAGCTCCTTGTGGCAGGTCTGGCTGTTAAGAGGGATCTCCCAGCGCAAGCCACACTTGTGCCCCACTAAGATCTTCTTGGTGGCCCGTGTCAAACATATCACAAGCCCCCAGCTCTCAAAGGCTCCAAAATAGGGAATATGAACAATCTTGATTGCTGAAGACATGTTAGGTGGGGTGTCCCCTTTGTAGGTGAGGAAGCTAAGATGCAGGAAGGTGACCCAGAGTGTCCCCAGTTCTTCAGCTCCCTGGATGGGGGGCTCACCACAGTGGTGTTGGCCAAGGCATTGACTCGGCTGATAACATCCTGGCCAGGCCATGACGGGGCATCCTGCAGCTGCTGGTAAGTCTCTGCAAAGGAGGGGAGGCCAGGCTGGGTCCCGAGCGACACAGCCCAGAGGTGCCCCATCCACCATTTGCTGCTCTAGGAGGAAGAGCATGTTCACTGCTACGTGTCTGGAGCCTTACAGTGTTCTAGATGGGGAAACTGAGTCATACAACAGCAAAATCACTTGCCCAGGGACACACAGCTGGGATTCACCTCCAGGTCTTTCTGGCTCCACCCCCACCCCGTCCTGTAGTTTGGACTCCAAGGAGGCCCTGAAACTTCGAGAAGATTCTGAATTCCCAGTTTGTGCCAACTGCTTACTCCCCCTCGGCCTACACTTGTCCATACCCAGCCTCCCCTTCAGCAGAGCCCTGGGCACTGCCAGGAATCACCTGTCCGGTAGCAGCAGAGGAAGGGCCGTGGTTGAAGGCAGAGCGAAGAGCCCTCAGTATGGGATCCTGGGTTCCACGTAGGGCACTCCTCTGAAGGCACTGGCAGGGATGGGACAGGGGTCAGGACCGTATCGTGGCTCCCCAGGAGCCCCTGTGACCCACCGGCCTGTTCGGGCTTTAAAGGCACTTGTACACCTTTGGGGGCTAAAACGCACAGTCCCTGACTTAGGGGGCAATATGGGAACCTGGGTGAAGCGTGCTGCAGGCAGCACAAGGTGGGGCAAGGCGGCTGGGGGGTGAGCCTAGTCAAGCTACTCGGACTGTGTATTTGCCTGACCGGCTTGGGGAGGGCGTGACCAGAGCTGGGCGTGGCCAGGTTCGAGAGACGTGGGCTGGGCCGCGAGCTCAGAAGGGAGCCTGCGGGAGCCAGGGGGCGGAACCAGCAACCAGGGGGCGGAACCCAGCAACTGGAGGGCGGGGCCTAGCAGCCCAAAGGCGGGGCGGGCGGTACCCGGACAGAGAAGGCGCACCCGCAGGGGCGGCAGCAGCGAGGGCGTGACGTCCAGGGCGCGCAAGTCCCAGCGGAAGAGCAGGCCGACGGCTGGCGGCGCGCAGGCTCGCGCCCGCCGCAGGTCCACGGGACTCAGCGCCCGAGCCCACAGGTGGAAGTCGGTGAGGTTGCCGCTGAAGGCATCGCGCGCCGAGAAGCCGCCGCCCAGGGAGTCCTGATCCTGGCCCAGCACAAGGATGCCGCCCGCCGGCACCGGGTGGCCCGCGCCCAGTCCCCGCGCCCCGGCGCGCCACCGCCCGTCGGCGAACAGCGCCCAGCGCCCGCCGCGCTGCTCCCACGTGGCGCACACGTGGTGTCAGCGGCCGTCGGCGCGGAAGGCGGCGAGGAAGGGCGCGTGCTGGCCGCGCACCACCAGCGCCGCGTGCACCGCGCCGCCGGGCTCGGCGAAGGCTCGCAGCTGCAGCGCGGGCGCGGCGAGGGAGAAGAGCGCCGCGGGGTCGGGCGAGGCGGCGTCCCACTGCACGTGCGCGCACGCAGTCAGCGCCCCCAGCGCGGGCAGGGGCCACCGCAGCCGTGCAGCCCTGTCCGCCGTCCGCTCCCCGAACACCAGCGCGGCCGACGTGAGCGCGCCTGCGGGGACACGCGGGCCGGCCCCTCAGTGTTCCCAGCGGCGCACAGCCTCTGGCTACCCACTGGCGTAGCTGCAGGGCCCCTTGTGGGCTTTGGGGTATCTCCCTCTCTCGGGAAGGAAGAAATAGGGGCTCCTGTGCTCATACCCATGCGGTCAACCCTCTGTTTTAGTCCAGGACAAGGGAACTGGAGATGCAACGGGGACTTCTGAGCTCAACCCAAGAGGACTATCACTGTGGGCTCCATCTCTGGAGGTTGCCAAAGCCTCTGCACCCCCGCACCCCCGCCTCCTCCTCCCAAGTCCTGGGCCCACACTCACGCCTTTTCGGGGCTCTCCGGAGAGAGCCCTCTTTTTGGCCCACCCAGATGGGGTTGGGCAGCCGTAGAGCCAGGGCCCCAGCAGGGGGCGCGAGTGCCAGGCGGCCAAACCTCTGCTCACAAGCCTCTTGAGCCTGCCACCAGGTCAGGTGCTGCCCTGGAAACTTGCACACCCCATCCGCAGTCTCCACCACCTCCCCGGGACCCACTGGAGCTGCAGGGTCAGAGGAGAGTGTGGGAGAGCAGGGTGTGGGCCATGTGACCCTTCCGGTGGGGCCGGCCATGCGCACTGAGCTAGGAGTCATTCGCAGCTCAATGCTCTGTGACCTGCCAGGTCTAGTCCCTTTGCTGAGCCTGTTTTGTCATCTCTTTAGAGCCAAGAATAAGATGGACACGGTTGAAACTTTCATTCCAGGGTCCGGGATGATGGGGCTGAACTAAACGGCATCTCCTCCCTTCCTTTGCCTTAGACACCAATGCACCAGGTGGACCACAGGCTGGCTGAGCTGGAGGACGGAGGAACCCCTCTGGGACCCTCATACCAACCTGTGACCCAGGAGCCCCTTGATTCAGCTGGTGAGTTGGAGAGGGTCCCAGAGAGACTCCTTATCTGAGAAAGAAGCAGACAGTTTGGGGCTGGGTCAGCCAGTTACTGATTATCTACTGTGTGTTCCTGCAGGATGCGTTGGAAGCTCCAGGCTCTGGAGTCAGACCTGGGTTCCAGTCCCACCAAGAGGGGATTTTGGGCAGGGTGTTTTACTGCCTTGAGCTTGTCCTCCAGCCCCCCTCCACTCCCTTCTCCATCCCCCCCCCCAACCCCCTGTGAGGAATTAACAAGCTGTTGAATGAATGTAAAAGGATGCAGTGTAAAAGCAGTGGATGCTTTTACTCTATTATTATTGCCAAAGGCTTATCTCGTGTGACCTTCACAGTGACCTCAGAGGTGCCCACTTGGAAGCCAGCAGCTTTGATCCCCTTGGCCACCCCACCCCCATCCTCCGTGTTCAGGTACCAGGAGGTAGACGAGGCAGTAGCACCAGGAGGCCATTCGGAATCCAGCAGGGACAGGGGAGGGACAGCAAGGGTCACAGATGTGACCACTGTGGACTGAAGAAGGAAAAAAGCGAATGAACATTCAGCGTCTTGACTTGCTACCCGCTCTGTCTCCTGCAGGGTCATCTTCCCCCAGGTTTGGCTCCCAGAATTTACTGGGCCGAGAGCCCAGGATGGGCTGGGCACATCTACTTGACATTTGCTTGCACAAAAGGATGGTCTCCAGGAGTCCTTTCTAGGACCACAGCTGGGAACGCTGTAGCCCTGGTGAGCTGGGAACGGCTGGGTGTGGGGAGGGAAGGCAGCAGCAGCCGGCTGGCCAGAGAGAGGTGGAAACTGAGCACAGGATCCCTGTTAGACTTCCTTGTGTTCTTTTGGGCTCACAGCTTGGCATTCAAGGCCCCGCTTCATGAGGCCTCTGCTGAGCTCGCTGGTCTCACCAGTCTCCCTATCCACCTGCCTCCTAGCTCCCCTGCAGTCACCTTTCCCCTGTCCCCCAAGCTGCCCCCATTTCTCCAGGCATCATCTCTTCTCCAGATTTTGGGGTGCGCAGTCCCTCTTGCCTGGACTGGCCTTCCACTCCCTCAGGGGCACCTTCTACAGATCAGCCTGCCGTCATGGCCTCCACCTGCACTGATGGCCACAGGCTGCTGTAAGCTGAGGATACCCTAATTGTGGGTGGCTTGGGGGTCACTCTTAGCAGTCTGGGGGGCTTTAGGCCTCCTGGGTCTCTACTCCAGCAGTGGCCGAGCACCAGTGGGTCCCAGAAAATACTGGAGAACAAAGAATGGTCCACTGTGTCCCACCAGTTGGCCTCATGCCAGCTGGACGTCTGGAGCCATCCCCAGTGACAATTCATACCCTTTCCCCCTTTCCAGATAAAGTGCTAAGTGTGGAAATCAGACCCATTCCTGCACAGGAATACACGGGGGTTCACGCCTGGATTCCGAAAAGCACCAACTTATTGTCACTTTCCCCCTTTTAAAAAATTAATTAATTAATTAATTAAAATTAAGTGGGCTCCACACCCAAGATGGAGCTTAAACCCACCACCCCGAGATCAAGAGTTGCATGCCGTACCAAAGGAGCCAACCAGGAGCCCCACTTTTCCCCTTTTTAAACAGCACCTGTGCCCACCCTGCACCCCCGCCTTCAGTGGGTGGGCAATGGTAGGAGTCCAAGACTGAGGCTTGGTCCCTAGCATGTGTTGGGCACATAGTATGGGCTCAATAAATGGGGACCGCCTCATTCCCTTGTTCGCGTTTGCCTGTATTTGCGCCCCCGACCCCAAACTCCTTGCCCCACCCTCCTCGCTCACCGTACACTCTTTGGCACCCAAGAGGGAGATGCGAAGTCCGGTGGGCACTGCGACACTGCATGTCCTTCCGTCCTCCGTGAGGGCCCAGTGGGGAATGCCTCCGAGGCTGATGAGCCAGGACAAGGGCTCCCCCTCCTTCACCCGCGTTGACCCCTCCCCTATTCAGAGCCGAGCTCCTCACCTGCTCCGTCTGGCCAGGCGCCTACGGCCGGCTCAGCCGCTGCGAAGTGTTTGGGGGACAGACGAGGTCCGGTGGCTGCACCTCTGTGCTAGCTCTCCGCCCGGCAGGGGAGCCCACGGGCGCGGGGCGGTGCGGGGGGCGGTACTAGGAGACCCCGGCCCTCGGCGCCAGCCCCTTGGAGTCAGAGAGCCCGGGCGGGGAGAAGGGGTGTGTCCGGGAGTTCCTCGGTTCCTGAACGGGCTCTGCTGTGCTTCTCCCCACAACACGCAGGAAAAGGCACTCGGTTAGAAGGGGTCGCTCTGTGAGGCTTGGATCCCAAATAAACTTGTGGAAGTGGAAGGATCCTTGGACTTTCCCAACCGCATCTCCGGCTGGACGGTGGGAAAGGAAGGAACGTTCAGGGCCCTGAGCTGGCCCCCTACAGACCTCCCTTTTTTTTTTTTTTTTACCTTTAACCCCACTTTGAGGAGGGACTGTCATACCCATTTTCCAGATAAGGACTGAGGGCTCTCTCCAAGTTAGACAGCTGGTGGGTGGCAGAGCCCGGCCTTGAACCTGGCTCTTTGGGTCTTCATCCAGACCATTCAAAAGGTGAGGGCGAGGTGGGCGGGAGAGAATCCACGTGTGTGACGTGGGGGGAATTAAAATGAAAGGGTTTTGGCCTCTGAGGGCAGAGCCTGGGCTAGGTGGGTGGTGGGGGAAGGAGCCCAGGTAGGTTAAGGGGAGGGAGGAGGGATGCAGAGGTGGTGCTCTGAGTGGCCTCCAGCTGGGACCAGAGGCACCCCCTGGCCTCAGTAGGGAGACTTCTGGCTTGGGAGGGAGGTCAGACCGATCCAAGTTCATCTTGACTGACTCAGGCACGTTGCCCAATTTCTCTGAGCCTCGGTTTCCCCATCTGTGACATGTGGATAATAGTACACACGTCAAGGGGCTGCTGTGTGATTTAAGTGACCTTGACAAAGCCTGTGGCTCGTACCAGGCATTTAGTATGTTTATCGTTCTCGTCAAAACTTTGCTCACAGTTACAATAGTCTGTGGCCAAACAGTGCTTTATGGGTTTTTCTCCCACAACTTCTTCTATTGTAGTAAAATATGTAGAACAGAATTTAGCATCTTATGACAGTTTTTATTTAGTTTTTTAAAGATTTATTTGAGAGAAAGAGCATGAGAGAGTAAGGGCAGGGGGCAGAGGCAGAGGGAGAAGGAGGCTCCCTGCTGAACTTGATCCCGGGACTCTGGGATCTCGACCTGAGCTGAAAGCAGGCAGACACTGAACCAACTTAGCCACCCAGGGGCCCCATATGATGATTTATTTATTTATTTATTTATTTATTTATTTATTTATTTTTTTTTTTTTTTTAAAGATTTTATTTATTTATTTGACAGAGAGAGATCACAAGCAGGCAGAGAGGCAGGTAGAGAGAGAGGGGGAAGCAGGCTCCCTGCTGAGCAGAGAGCCCAATGCGGGGCTCGATCCCAGGACCCTGAGATCATGACCTGAGCCGAAGGCAGCGGCTTAACCCACTGAGCCACCCAGGCGCCCCATATTTATTTATTTTTTTTAAAGATTTTATTTATTTTATTTGACAGACAGAGATTACAAGTAGGCAGAGAGGCAGGCAGAGAGAGAGAGGAGGAAGCATGCTCCCTGCTGAACAGAGAGTCCGACGCGGGGCTCGATCCCAGGACCCTGGGATCATGACCTGAGCTGAGGGCAGAGGCTTTAACCCACTGAGCCACCCAGGTGCCCCTGATGATTTATTTTTGAAAGAAAAGGGCAGGGAATCAAACTGGATGATATATTGGTGTGCAGTGGGCTCTTCTAGCTTTATCCAGGTTTGAGAATTTGCAAAATAAAATCGGGAGATAGGAGGTCCCCATTGGGGCAGAGTCCTGAGCATTTCCCTGGTTCCTGGCCCTACAGAATGTCTGCAGGACTTGGCTGTCCCTTGTCTTTGTGGCCCACCAGCATCCCACCCAGAATGGAGCCCTTGCTGCCTGGTCTGGTTGGGCCCTCCCGCATTTACACTGTCATTCAAGACAGGGACTCTTGGTGGGGGGGGCATTTTTACATACGTGCTAACTGAGCCCAGAGGGAACACAGGGCTCCGGGCAGCAAGGAAAAGACGAAGCCCAGGTCTGCCACTTTCTCTCTGTGGGTGGGGTGGGCTTGGTATTTACCCTAATTCTCCCAGCTTCCTTTGTACACCTTCTAACTCTCCCGGCCTTCCCCATTCCCAGCCCCAATCTCTCTGCCCTGTCGCCTGAGTTATGACATTCCCAGCCTCAGTAATGTCCCTGCCTGGGGGCTCTGGGCCAACCCTCTTCCTTCAGTGGGGTCACATTTCCTGGGAGTCACTCCTGGAGATGGCTAAGTACCAGGGGGCAGGAGGTGGGGGTGGGGGCCTCCATGGACCCACACTGTTTGGGCGCTGTTCTAGCCTAATCTCTCCACCCCAGAACCTGGGTATTGTCCGACCGGCAGCCCAGGGCCATTCATCGTGCCCGTGGCGGTGGTTCTGACAGGCCTCTTGTCTCCTTACATAGGGCCTGGAGGCTGTGAGTGAGTGATAGCCACTGGGGTCCCTGGGCTCATTGTCTTTGTCGATGGGGCGGGGGGGGGGGCATGGGAGCAGCCAGCGGTGTGCTCATCCTGGGGCATGGCCCTGCCCTGTCTCCTCAGCTAAGTTGTCCACAGTCCAAGTGTAGGAATTTGGAAAGAGGAGCTGGCAGCTGGGACACTTTCACCTTGGGGTTGCCACAAGCCCAACAGAATTGGAACTTGGCCATCAGCCAACTTTTTTGTGACCTGGGCCAGTCTCTGTGCCCTGTGTCATCTCACAGAGAATGTAGAGAATCACCCCCTCTTCTCAGGGACATAAAGGGTGGCTATGAGGCGAGACGTTTGAGTGTCGGTTGGGGGAGCCCCACAACCTGACCCAGTTGTCACTTTTCTCTGGTGGCACTGGCCTCCTGCTCTGTAGGTAAAAGAAGAGTCCCTTCCCCTCCCCGCACCGGTGCACACCTTGGTTCCTGAGAAACCGATGTGCCCAGAACCAGCCTGCCTCCCTTCTTGCCCACTCCAGCCCCTCCTCCACCCAGCAGGCAGAGTGAGCTCTGTAAAATTTCCATCTGCTCCTGTCCCTCCCCTGCTCAAAACCTCTCTGTGGCTCCCTGGTGCTCCAGGAGGAAATCCAAGGTCTGCATGTGGCTAACATGATCTGTCTCTGTGCCTCTTCCCCATCACACTCCATAGCCCAGCTTGTAGCCAGAGGGAACTTCTGTCAGTTCACACCCCGGGGCCTTTACACAGGCTGTTCCTTTGTCCAGGAATAGGCAGGAGTCCTCCTCCTCCAAGTCTTTTGTGGCTCATTTCTACCTATCCTTCAGGTCTCAGCTTAGACCTTCTAGGATACCTTCCCTGCTCCCCAATATTAAACTGTTTCAGGAACCCCAGATCCCTGTAAATGCTGGGAAATTGTCTGCCTCACTCTACTGCCCCCACCCGCGCCTCTGCGCCCCCCCCAGCGCCAGGGACAGGGCCTGCCAGAGTGAGTACTTGTGTTTATTGAAGGACTGAAGGAATGATCTAACAGATCTAGGCATACCCAGACAGATACCTTGTGACTCTAAGATTGGGGTGCGTGTGCCTGGGGGGTTGGTATGGGGGGTGATGGGAAGAGGATTTCTGCTTAGTGGACCCTCACACCTGCCACCCACAGGCCATAATCACCCACAGTCATTATGGCCCCAGGATACTGAAGCAACTACTTCTTGCCAAGCTGTTTCCAGCCATTCTCATCTCTTCCTAGTCCTGTCCCCACTTGTCCCCACATGTCCCCACATGTCCTTACCTGTCACTAGGGCAGCTCCAGAAGCCAGAGGCAGCTGATGCAGAGGCCTTGAGCTGGGAGTCAAGGCCAGCCCCATGCTCCATTCTGGGCCCCTTTCTGTGGCCAACAAGCATAGGGACCCAAATGACCACATCTCCACTCTTGGTCTTGGTTCCTCTCTTCGGGGCTTCTTATCCCAGTTTAGAGAGAATGGTAGTGCATATCTGTGACATGCCTGGTGTGGAACCTGGCACACAGCAGGTGCTCAATAAATGTCTATTTGTATTAGGGGAAACCAAGAACCAGAGAGGGAAAGTGACCTATGGTCACATAGCAAATCCATGGCACAGCCTAAGCCTTCACTTTCCTCAAGCAGCCTCCCCCATCACTTCTCTCTAAGCTTAAAATAACTTTTACCTCGATCTGACATGACAGTGAATTCTAGCGGGTTCAGAGTTTCTTTTGGGGTGGGCAATGAAGTGTTCTAAAATTGATTGTGGTCATGGTTGCCCCATTGTGTGAATGTCCTAAAAACCATTAAGTTGTATACTTTTTTTTTTAAGATTTTACTTATTTATTTGACAGAGATCACAAGTAGGCGGCGGGGTGGGGGGAAGCAGGCTCCCTGCTGAGCAGAGAACCCGATACAGGGCTTGATCCCAGGACCCCGGGATCATGACCTGAGCTGAAGGCAGAGGCTAACACACTGAGCCACCCAGGTGCCCAAGTTGTATACTTTAAATGAGTGAGTTGCATGGAATGTGAATTACATCTCAGTAAACTTTTATTTTAAAAAATAACTATAATGTGCAAGAAAAAGCGCCGGACAGAAGATGTGTAGCTGCACGGGCTTCTTGAGCCCAGGTCTCCTGTTCTGTCACTTGGATCGTATTCCCCACTTATAGGAATTTGTAAGATCAAATGAAGAAGTTGAGTTGTAATATTCCCAGAGTTGATACCAGTATCAATAATATTGATACTGGCCATTTCTATAAAAATGATTCTCTCACTCTCAAAGATTACTGGATAAAGAAATGAACAAATACTTTACCAAAGAAGAAAAACAAATAGAAAAATACCTGGGGAAAAAAGTGCTCCTCCTCAATTTTAATCAAAGGAGTGAAAATTAAAAAAGCAACTTTAAGGTATCATTTTAAAATGGAAAAACTCTGTGCTGACACAGTTGCAGTGAAATCGATATATCCAAGTACTGTTACACCAGGCAGAATGGCACAATCCTCTTGGAAACCAACAGAGTACTATATTAAGAGCATCAAAGGGGTGCCTACGTGGCACAGTTAGTTAAGTGTCTATCTCTTGGTTTCGGCTTAGGTCGTGATCTCAGGGTCTTGGGATCAAGCCTGCTGTCAGACTCTGTGCTCAGTGGAGAGTCTGCTTAAGATTTTCTCTCTAGAGTGCTTGGGTGGCTGATTTGGTTAAGCATCTGTCTTCAGCTCAGGTCATGATCTTAGGGTCCTGGGATCAAGACCCACATCGGGCTCTCTGCTCAGCAGGGAGCCTGCTTCCCCACCCCCTCTCTCTCTGCCTGTCTCTCTGCCTACTTGTGATCTCTGTCTGTCAAACAAATGAATAAAATCTTAAAAAAAAAAGATAAAAAAAAAGAAAAGAAATTCTTGTATGTATGGTGTGATGAATGTTAACTAGACATGGTGGTGATCATTTTGCAATCTAGACAAATATTTAATCACTATCTGTACACCTGAAACTAGTATGTTGTATCTTAATTATACCTCAATTTAAAAAAAAAGAAAGAAAAAAGCAGGAAGTAAGCAAAGTAGGAAACAAGCAAACAAATAAAAGCAATCATATAATTACAACTAAGTACAACTCCGTGTAGACAGGTAGATATTGTTGGTGACTGATAGAGCATTTGCATCCTTCTCCTCTGTTTTCAAAATGCTCTTTCTCGGGGCGCCTGGGTGGCTCAGTGGGTTTAAGCCTCTGCCTTCAGCTCAGGTCATGATCCTGGGATCCTGGGATCGAGCACTGCATCGGGCTCTCTGCTCCGCAGGGAGCCTGCTTCCCTTCCTTTCTCTCTGCCTGCCTCTCTGCCTACTTGTGATCTCTGTCTGTCAAATAAATAAATAAAATCTTTAAAAAAAAATGCTCTTTCTCAGCCTCCCTTGCAGCTGTGGGTTGTCATGTTACCACTAAGATGTAAACCAAAGTCTTCTGGCGGAACTCAGAGAAATATTTTGCTTTTCTGATAACAGGGATTGTTACTGTTTTCACCATCCTCTCCTCCTAATCTCTTCTTTTAAAAAAAATCTCTTCTGTCTTGGGGTGCCTGGGTGGCTCAGTGGGTTAAAGCCTCTGCCTTTGGCTCAGGTCATGATCTCAGGGTCCTGGGATCAAGCCCCATGCTCAGTGGGGAGCCTGCTTCCCTTCCTCTCTCTTTCCACCTGCTTCTCTGCCTACTTGTGATCCCTGTCTGTCAAATAAATAAATAAAATCTTAAAAAAAAAATCTCTTCTGTCTTGAACACAGGTGAGGTGCCTGGAGCTGTGGCAGCCATATTGTGACCATGAGGCTACAACATGTTATGTCAAAAGGCAATCTATTAAGAATGATAGGAACAGCAAGACTGACATACCATGGGTCCATAACATCATTGTGCAGCCTTCCAACTTTGAGACCACCTACTGCCAGTCTTTTGTTGTATAAGGAAAGTAACCCCATTTATTTAAAGCACTGTTGTTAGTTGCAGCTGGGACCATTCTCAACTGGTACATGGACAAAGACATGAAAATACACTGGATGGCATACGGGATTTGAAGGTAGACAAACAGGGATTCGAATCCCATTTCTCCCACTCTGTTTGTGTATCTGTGATTTCAGGTCAAGCCTCTTGACCTTTGAGCCTCCATTTCCTTAGCAATAAAATGGAGCTAATGACACCCACCTGTTGGGCTTTTCAAGGTTAGAATGACATGACAGATTTGGAAGCACTTAGTGAACAGCAAAGTGATATTTGGGTTTAGTCTTATCAAACTAAAAGTCTGAACTAATGCAAAAACAATGAAGGAGCTGTTGTGTTAGGAAGGAGAATTGGTCATGAATATTTTTCTTTTTCATTCATTAATTAAAAAATTACTTTATGTTCCAGATATTCTTTAAGACTGCTCTGGCTCTCTCTCCTCCGGGCAGGGACCCCCACCTTGGAGTGGACGGGTCTGGACCTGAGAGCGAGGGCTGTCTTCTGGTCCTGTCTGAAGGTGGCGGTAGGTGGAGCTCGAGGCTCATGGCAGAGCTGGGCCAGGGCGCTGGGCTCTTCACCCGGTCCTGGCAGGCGGGCGGGCACTGGGGAGGCTCAGCGTCAGCGGCTGTGACTCGAGGTAAAAATAATCAGGGAAGGACAGCTGCTTCCTTGTCAGCAACCAAGAGGGAAATAAAGCTCATGTCCCCTCCAGCGAAAACCTGCTCTCCAGGTCCCCAGGCTCCTGCCACCAACTGCTCGACGTCTGCGTGCCAATCCAATTTGAACGCCTGCGATTCCCCCCAGAGAGGGCTTATTTTAACTTCATCAAGCACTGAGAAAAACATCCAGACTAGAGTAAATGGGAAGAAGGAGCAGCTGCTTCGGGGCTCAGGCCAGGAAAGGGGTCCATGGCTTCTGTCCCGCTTGTGGTTGGACTTGGGGTCCCCTCCTCCTAATCTGGTTCAAAAATTGCCCATGTGGTTAATTCAGCCAAAGCTCAGTGAGCATCTAGTAGGTGTTCCCTGAAATCAAGTGGGGGAGATAACAACGTGGCTCTGCTCAGAAGTTCCTCTCTGATGTCCTCTGATGTCCTCACCTCCTCTCCTGTTCCCTCTCTCTTCTCCAGCCCCTGCTCTGGGGCTGTGCCAGGCTTTTCACGAAGGCCCCGACTTGTGTTCTCTCCCACCTTCATGCCTTTGCACACCACGCCTTCCACCTGAACTGCCTTTCCTATTTCTTTGCCTGGTAGATGTCCACAAGTTCTAGAGAGTTCCTAGGCATTCCTCAAGACTCAGTTCAGTATCATTGGCTGCTTCCCCACACCCCCAGGCAGACTTGACTTGTTCTCTGTGGGTCCCCGCAGGATTTTTTTGTCGTCCTCCTGTTTTAACAAGGAACTGGGGTGTCTCCCCGCCTGCCTTCCTTCCTCTTCTATCCCACTCTTCTTCCCTTGTTTCCAACAATCACACTGAGCGTCTCCTCTCCACCAGGCCCTGTGCCGGCTGCTTGGGGCAGATGCAAATCCCTGCCCTCAAGTGGTGTCCGTGTGGACGGTTGTCAGCGTGATGAGAGGTGGCTCGTGGGCTGTGGGGACAGGCCAGCAACACAGCCACCCAGAAACAGCTGCTTCCCGATGACAAAGTGAAGAATCGCGTTTTTGTCTCTTTTTATCCTCCTTTTTTTTTTTTTTTTTAAATCAAGGGATGAGCACAAAAGGTGTTTCTGACTTCTACTACAATTAGTGGAGACTCACATTTTTAGTGTATTCATTTCTCTAAATTTTAAATGGTAATGTATATCAGATAAACAGTAAATTAACTAAAAAAATTAAAATGAGGCTAATAACAGAAGTAATTTTAAAATTAAGGTTTACTTTTTCCTGGCTCGGTCTCTAAGTCCTGCCTCCCCAGGAGGACATTTTTGTTCAGCCTGTGTGGTTAGGTTAGGAGCAGAGGGTCCCTGGGTTCCACCAGGATGAGGAGCCTTTGTCCTGCTGCCTCCCTGCTCTGGGGTAGGATCCCAGGGGCTGTTGATCTGTGGCCCCCATGGCCATGGCTGGAGGGAGTCACTTGTGCAGGGACAGGGCTCTGGGTGGGGTAGAGGTGTTCTGTTTTTGCATGTTTGGTAATTCAGAATATTTGAAAATGTTCATTGTTTCTTAGGCCTCATTGGAATGTGCTAGCATCCAGGAGAGTATGTCAGCTCAGTCTTGGCTGGGGGCTCGGTGGGTGGGTGGGGTATGCGCAGATAATGGGGTGGGGAGCGTGGGTACTGCTGAGGTAGGCCTTTTGGAGGGTGGGTAGATGGGGTGAGAGGCAGAAGATGGGATCCTAGGTGTGTGTGGGGTTGGCAGGGAGGGAGTGACAATAAGCCGCCAG